CTTTTGTAAGTCAAATTAATCATAGTATCTACACGCCAGAGCGTAAAACTACAAAAATGCACTGATCATAGTGTGGTGCGAGCTACTTATAAGTAGTATATGACGTGAGTGTCAACGTAATGTCTGGTGACAGCAGAAGATGGGGGAAGATCAAGAGAAAGGAAGTAGAGTGGGAACACAATGGAATTTGTATGAAACGCATGAATAGTGACAGTGGATTGTTGATGTTTTGCAACAGGAACAACAGTCCAGTTCGATATGATGAACTGTTATTTTGCAAATTAACAACGATTTACGATATGGTTTTCCGATTTCACTGAGTAACTCTGTAATTTTCGTTAAATACAATTCGGTTGCCCTCACCTGTGTCCTCGTTCACTACAATAACTCTTTCCATTGGTTGTAGAGAGTATAGTAGAATAACTTATCAATAATTGAAGAACTTCTAGAAGGCATTCAAAAACACACACTCTTTAATCAAGTTATTCTTTGCTAGTAATCGGTTTTTTTTCGTGATAAATGTATACTGTTTTATTCATCATCTATCTATATGTTTAACAAGGCGATCTGAAGACTTTGTATAAGCTACTTTTGACATTTTTTACATACGACGGTGTTAATAACACTTAACTTTATGATCAATCTAGGGATTTTGTGCAACGTCACCTATTTAATCTTCAGTAAGTAACTGCCTACACTGGAAAAGGTTGAGTTCCGAGAATTTCTTCGCGTATCTAGTCACTCACTAGTGAGTACATTCTTGATTTTTGTACAAAAGTGTTATAATGCTCTCTTTTTTATTACAACCTAGCTATTTCCTAATGCTTAGTATTCTCACATACCGGTTGACTCGAGACGTTTCCATCGAAATCAGAACACGAGTTAAACAAGGAATAGAGATTATATTTCAATAGTAAGGTTAGAAGAAAGACAAAGAAGCTCATAACGTTAGTCTATTTATAGTTTTCTTACATGAAAAGATTCTAGAATGTTCCGTCAGTGTATCGGCTAGCGCTGATTGGACGATACAAAAGAGCCAATCAGCTTGTAACAAACACAATCATGCTTGAATCCACTCTACGTTCTACTAACACACAGAAAGGATTCTAGAGATCATTGTTGTTAAACACACTGAAATCATAATTATAAATCATAACCGTGCGTATTACCTAAACCGATCAACAAAATCTTACATATTTCATCATTGAATCATGATGTACTCTTCTTTTATTCAATAATTAACTGATCATTTATTAAAATAAATGATGATTCAAAAACTTTAAAGCAATGTGTTTTTTTGAAATCGCCGCTCAAAAAAAATAATACATGAACAAACAATTCATTGACTCATTTTACCATTGAACATGTGATCATCTCTGCTTCAAACAAAATTTTCTAAGTGCTAAGGTAAAAAAATTTTTTTTTATATTCAATCGGAAAACACAAACTTTAAACCATGTTAGGATTTTATTGATTATTCTAACAACTACGACACCAAAAAAATGTCAAATTGAACACAATAAGCATATAGTAGCTAGCTAGTTAGTTAGCTCACAATGACTGACTCCAAAATATTATTGACATGTGCTATGTTGGTTGGTCAATGTGACACAGTCACTTCAGTCAATTGATGTTAAATTGAAAATCTATGCAATAAGAAAGTTTAATTAGGTAGGAGAGATGAAAATTTGTTTTCTCTGTGCATGTTAAATGTAGGAGGCAGTAAATATTAGGTTAACAAGAGTTGAGTAAACCAAACAGTGCTAGAAAGTCATATATTACTTACTTACTTACTTACTTACTTACTCAATTACTTACTTACTTACTTACTTACTTACTTACTTACTTACTTACTTACTTACTTACTTACTTACTTACTTACTTACTTACTTACTTACTTACCTACCTACTTACTTACTACTACTTACTTACTTACTTACTTACCTACCTACTTACTTACTTACTTACTTACTTACTTACTAACTTACTTACTTACTCAATTACCTAATTATTTACTTACTCACCTACTTACTTATTTAATTACTGATGCACTTACTTACTTAATTACTTACTTACTTACTTACTTACTTATTTACTTACTGATGCACTTACTTACTTACTTACTTACTTCCTCCCTTACTTAATGTTTGTATTAGTATTAACTATTTCACTGTTTCTGATTGGATTTCAATTAATCATTGTTGCTACTTTGACGTGGTGGTCGAGCTTGCCTATCGTGATGACCCAACCGAGCTGTATTGGCTAGAATATATGTTCCTGTAGGTTCTGCCATACCAGGCAGGTCGACTGGTGAGCAGTAAGACTAAAAGCAGCTACTCAAAGTCTGAAGGCGAAGTCGTACTACTGACTGTGGAGGATTGTGACAGCAGTAAGGTGTTTACTTCAGATAAGCAGCATCTGCAGCGATGCTGCCTTCTCACAAAGAAAGGAAGGGGTTAGAAAAGGTCGACCCTAACAATGTCATGGATTTCCGTCTCCAGCAGAAAGGTCTTCTGTTATAATTCTCTCTTTACTACAACCCAGCTATTCTTAATGTGTAGTATTTTCGGAAACCAATGCACTCAAGACGTTGTCCCACGAACACGAGTGAACAGGAAATAGGTTATATTTCAATTACAAGGGTTGATGGAAGATAGACATTACAAGGAAAAAAGACGTTAGTATGTTTATAGTCTTCTTACATGAAAAGATTCTAGTATGTTCCTTCAGTATTGACTAGTTCTGATTGGATAAGGAGGAACCAATCAGCGTGCATTAACGTAATTATGCTTCAATCCAATCTATCTTCCACTAACACCTTTTAAACAAGAACGGAGCTAATGCTTTAGAAACTTCTCGTAAAAAGACTGTGAGTGACCAGCCTTAAGCAGTTGTCCTTTGGGCTCTGAGGTCAAGCTCCCAGGTCTCTAAGACCAACACTAATCCAACTTCCTTTTCAGGTTCCTCAAGAAAAATCCTTCCAAAGTGGCAATTGCCCTCATACTCGTAACAGCACACGAGACCGAATCGGTCAGAAACATATCCTTCCTACACTTCTTAATAACTCTCTTGTCTGCACGCCTGATTAGGATTTAATCATACACATTAACTTGATGTAACTTATTTGCCAGATACAGATTTGTATCCTGAGCGACTTTGAATAGTCATACAATGTGTAAGGACTAGTAATATTATCCGGCTGCCTAAACAGAGAAGAAGGTAGATTAGAGTCAGGAGTTACCGTCTAAATGTTGAAAGGTAAGAATGACTTAACTGCTAAGCCACTACCTCATTCGACTGGCTATCTGAACAGGTATAGACTGCCTATTTGTGGTCCATGTGATTATGGTAACTGGTGGTTAGAGACTTTGAATGAAATCGCTTAAAATCGTTTGCAATGGTGCAGATGCATCCATTATTAGTGTTTCAACTAACGCACGACCTATCTTTGATAGGAAATTGATTTCAACGGTTTATATTTCTTTAAATCATATCTTTCCCACTATCGCTAATATACTGCTACAACACCTGCTACTTCGAGGCATTAAACTGGCGCTCTAATCAGGGTATGGCAGCTTGAATCGACGCGTATATATAACATGTTCTAAGTTCTTAACTGTCTGACTGACTGTCTGATTGACTGAGTGCCGCACCTTATAAATAATCTCATCTGTAAGACAAATTATTTCAGTGAGAAAGTTGATCTAGTGAAGTATATGAGTTACTGCATATGGTAGGAACAAGCCTGTTACCTCCAGTGAAGCACGGGCTACCGACCGGCATTCTCAAACTTACTCTGTCCTGGGCCTTCTTCTCCAGTTTCACTCACTTACTGTTCATTCTTTCCATATCTGATTCCAATTATCGGCGTAATGTGTTCTTCAATTAGCCTCTTTTCCTTTAGCTTGGAGCATTTCAAATGACAGCTTGTCTTGTAACGCAGTTAGGTGCTTTAGGCATTGTGTGCCCTATCCACTTTCAGAGATTCTTTCCGATTTCTTCTTCCACTGGAATCTGGTTTGTTGCTGATACTGTCTGGTCAGTGGATCCGCAGAATCTTGCGTTAACAACTGTTAATGAATACTTGTATCTCCTGGATGATGGTTATCGTACTTCTCCAAGTTTCCGCTCCATACAATAGAACTGTCTTGACGTTTGCATTAAAAATTTTCGCTCTTTGGTGTTTATTGTCGGGTGTTTTGAGTAGTAGATGTTTTTCACTTGTAAAAATACAGCCCAGGTTTTTAAAAGTTTCCGCATCCTCCAAAGCTTCTCTGTTCAGCGTGATTTTGCTGGTGCATGTCGTGTTGTATCTAAGTCTCATTCAATTTCCTTTACATCTGTTGAGGTTTGCCGCTTCAAAGGCTGCTACCACACTGGCTGTCTTCCCTTAAGTTTTTTTATGTGAAATAGAGGGTCTAGATCATCTGTGAAGTTCAAATCAGCCAGCTACATCCGAACTGTCTTACTGTATTAAGTACTTTTCCTAAGATAGTGATGTCTTCATCACTTACATCATACGACATTTAGCGACAATTTCGCAAGTTCGAGTCCCCACTCAATTTACACTTAATTGTCGAGTAGAGAACTGTCAATGCCCAGTTCGCAGTGAGTGTGTGCGTGATTGAAGACTAAGTGCATGGATAGGTACTTTGCAAAACTAGTCTCATCATTACCAATTAGCGTTGTTTGCAACCGAATTGTATTTAACGAAAATTACAGAGTTACTCAATAAAATCAGAAAACCATATCGCGTAAACCGTTAATTTGCAAATCTTCAATTCATCATCAATCCATTGTCTGACATTTCACTTATTCATTCATGCGTTTCATACACAAATTCCATTGTGTTCCCACTCTTCCTACTTTCTGTCGATCTTCCCCCACATCTTCTGCTGTCACCAGACATTACGTTGACACTCGCGTCATATACTACTTATAATAAGTAGCGCGCACCACAATATAATCTTGTACGCATTTTTTCTCTCTCTACATTTCAGGCTTATGGTATAGTTTGGAAAGCATTGAATAAAAAAACCAAAGAAATTATTGCACTGAAGAAAATTTTCGATGCTTTCCGTAATCAAACCGATGCACAAGTAAGTTTTAACAAAACAGTCGATTGATTGTTTAACTGAGGTGTATATTCATTTATCTTCCTTCCTCTTACCTACTCGTTTTTTGTTTATTTAGAGAACATTTAGAGAAATTGCATTTCTGCAGAATTTCGGTAATCATCCAAATATTGTACGTTTGTATAATGTGATACGTGCTAGTAGTGATAAAGATATTTATTTAGTATTTGAATTTATGGGTAAGTTCTTACATCATCATTTTAAACACAATCGCATATGTTGTATGTATTCTTTCATGATAGAAACAGATTTACATAATGTCATTAAAAAAGGCAATATACTCAATGATGTACATAAACAGTATATAATGTATCAATTATTAAAAGCTACAGCATATTTACATTCAGGTGAAGTCATTCATCGTGATCAAAAGGTATGTACATTTTTTTTTCTTCATTTATTTTGAACTATTCATGAGTAGTATAAAATATAATTGATAAAAAATCGCCTTGTCAGATATAAAAATGTTCTAAATTAATTGTTATGAATCAGTCATAGTTAGACTACAATTAGAAACCTGGAAGCACTGGATGGCTGTTTCATTCTAGTATGAAGTTCTCTTCGGAAGTGCGCATCTACAATCCCTCACTGGTGGATATTGAACTCAGGGTCTTCGATCATGAATACCCATTTCCGAAGAGTCGCAATGATGAGAGGAGATGGCTATCCAATACTTCCAGGTTCCTTACGATCATCTTACAATCCTTGATTCAGACGTAAAACAACCGTCTCTATAACTTCATAATATCACAGGTTATTAGTAGTGACATATTTGTATATAATGCGAGTCGCTTAAATCAAAGTATTGTGTTGATGAGAGCTTTTTCTTGAACGTCAATATCTGTTAACACATTATGTCTATAGTTTTTCGTAGTGATAAACACTAGTTTTCTACGGCTATGAACGAACAGGTTAAGATAAGTTAAGCGTTCTATTTAAAATATACTCACTAGTGACTACCTTCTTGAGGAAATTCTAGTGAGAAGACGTGACCAATGATGGAGTTCAACTCTGTCGATTGTGGGCAGTAACTACCAAAGACAATGGGTGAGGTCGCGTGAAATCCCAGACATTAACACCGTTGGTCCAGAGGTTATGCGTTCGCTCGCAAGACCGAAGGTCCTGAGTTTGATTCCTTCAAGTAGTTGGAGTCGTGGATGCGCACTGCTTACTAGTCTCATACCGGACGAAACGGCTGTCTTTAAGTGCTTAAAAGTTTATCATGATAGTCAAACAATGGTTGGTTGATGATTTCAATGTGTGAAAAGATATGGTTTACTAGACAAAATATGGACACCATCCATTTGTAAGACAACCCAATTCTTGACTGTCTTCTGTAACTCAAAACACTCTAATTGAAAATATCGTAAAATGTGCTCACTGGTGACTAGCTTCGTGATGATGTTCTCGGAATTCTAGTGAGAAGACGTGACCACCAGTGGGGTTCAACCCTGTCGGCTGTAGGCACTAACTACCGAAGACAAATGGGTGAGGTCACGCAAAATCCCTAGATCAATCAGAGTTAGACATTAACACCGTTGGATGCCGGCCCAGTGGTCCAGAGGTTAGGCGTTCGCGCACAATACCGAAGGTCCCGGGTTCAAATCCTGCGAGGTGCAGGAGTCGTGGATGCATACTGCCACTGATGAGTCACATGTTAGGACGAAACGGCCGTCCAGTGGTCTGACAATGATGATTTCAAATTTGTAAAATCTCTAATCACTGCATACATCTGTATCCGACACGCTTCTGTTCAGTAGTGACTTCACTCCTCTGCATACTACTTACAAGCCACGCAACGTCACCAATGGTTAGAGACCTTGAACGGCTTAGCTCAGAATCGTTTTCAATGGCGCAGATGCATCCACTCTTTGTGTTCTATGAAATTCTAAGCTTCTGCATTCCCCATAATCTCTACCTTTCTCCTTATTTTACTGAATTATACTTCTCGAATCATATCTTCTCTCCCTAATCTTCTCCATTACTGCTAATAATTCTACTATCGCTATCATTCTTGCATTTGAACTGACAGTTACGTCTCTGTGCTGACGTGGTATGGCAACCTGAACTCTGATGTACTTATGTGTTTGTCTGTCTGTCTATCTACGACACTCCTATTCGATTACATTCCACGTCTAGAAAAAACTAGAATTCATTATTGTGTAATAAATCGATCGAAATTTTACTGATAGCAATAAAAAGTGATCCTTTAAAATTTCAAGTCCCCTTCGAAGTTTACCATAGAGAAAATTTTTGACATTTGATTGAACAGTAGTTCACCAAATCAATAAATTTCCGTTCATCTTTTTTTTTTATTTTCGGCATAAATTTCTAGCCATCCAATGTTCTCCTAGATTCATATTGTTTAGTGAAGCTGTGTGATTTCGGTTTAGCACGTTCATTGAAGGGGCGTAGTAAATGTGAAAATGGTAGTGGGAAAATCAATTGTAAAACATTGTTGCCTGCATTAACTGAATATGTCGCTACTCGATGGTATCGTGCACCGGAAATTCTCTTAGCATGCCATGATTATACTAAAGGTGTTGATATATGGAGTTTAGGATGTATATTAGGTGAAATGTTAATTGGTACACCATTGTTTCCTGGTTCATCCACCTTAGATCAAATTGAACGTATTATGGGTGGTTTACCGAAACCTAGTCCAGAAGGTAAGTAACTGGAGGTGTGATTTGATAACATGTTATTTTGAAAGATACTGGCTTGGCGGTCAGGAGGTTAAGGCGTTCGCGAGCAAGATCTAGAGTTCTGGTTTCGACTACTGTGAGTAGCGGGATGCGCACTGATGATGAGGCATCGTCCCATGCTTGGAAAAAACGGCTGTCCAGTGCTTCTGCGTTACAATTCAATCATGAATATTAGCGATGCGATGCTTTATGTTGAAACATGATGCTCATTGAATAAGAGTCAGCGGTTATTTGAACTTAGTAGCTTGTATTGGATAATAGATCAGTATTTGAAGAGATACACATTTTGCTGAAATCTCATTTCTAATATGCAGTCTGTGATCGCCTTTAAAGAATGAAATGCGCATCTCAAATTCAATCGTTAAACATAAGTCATACATCTGTATTAGGTATTTTTTACTAATATAACCAGAAATTATAGTGCAGTGTCATTCTCTGAGTTGGATACTTTAGATGTGCTGACATTCATCATTGTTCTTCTATTGAACAACATAATCAGCACAAACTTCAAGTAATAGTGTTGTGCTTCTCCACGTGTGACTTGTAGCTTGTACTGTGTTGAACCTCAATCGTGATTGGTTATCACTGACCTAGAACCTGTCAGATATATATACATAAAAATAAGTGATTTGTAACACATGTGATCAGTAGTCAAAGAAGGACGGAGAAGGCCGGAAACTAAAATACACAACGTTAACCAAGAACTTCACACCAACTCAAAGTGGTAGCCACGAATCTTTTAATTTGAAAATTAAAATTCTCGATTTCTGTACAAAAGGAATAGCTTATTTACAAATCGAGTCTTATGAGTCATCTTGCAAGTTCAGAGCACACAAGCCTTACTCTTCTACTTCCAGAATGTTTCTCTGTTAGGCTATTCACCAAAAACCCTACGAAGTGCAAGTGTAAATTCGATTGGTCGATTCCTATTGGTCAATATTATGGTTGTCCTAGATATCAGCGTCACGTACTTCGATATTGTTTCCCATTGGTTGTCCTGAATATCAATGTCACTTCAAATGTTTTTTCTTATTGATCGCCTTAACTGTCAATGTCACAGATTTCGATGCTGTTTCCTATTCGACCTAAATGTATAAATATGCATTATCTGTAACGTTTCATGACCCGGACCCTCAGTCCGGGATCCGTGTCTTCTTCTGGACTCGGGCCTCGTACTTTCTGGATGTTTGTAGAATACACATTCTACTTCATATCCAGTCTTCTTCTTTTATTCATTGGTGGGGTTGAGACATTCGGATTACAGTAGCATATCGTTTCGCCGGATCCTCGGTCCTCACTCTCGTTTTCCGACTAAGGTAAAGTCGTAATAGTTCAAGAATATCAAGTTGACATGTTTACGTGCATGTGTAATACTTTCCTTGATAGATCTGCAATAGAAAGCGAACAGAATTTATTCATAACGTCATGCATGCATAATGATTTCAAAATGGTTACAGTAAATTTATAAATGTGTCCAGTAAATTATTGATTTTTCATGATTGCTGTAATCTTATTTTCATATACCATGTATACATTCAGATTTGGCCAGTGTGAAAAGCCCGTACAGTTCATCGATTTTACAAAAAGCACGTATCAGGTAATTCATTCATTCATTAAAATACCTCCTTTATTTCAATCTGTTTCAATCTATTTTAATTTTGTTTTAATTAACTTTTTGTTTTTTTTCAATGTTCAATTATTCTTTATTTTCAAAATTTACAAGGTCACCATACAGTTGATGGCCCAAAAAACAACATACAAGTAATTAATTCCGTAGGTAAAGGTTTTTTAATTTTGCGTCCCATTTCAAATTACTCCACTAATCAATCATTCCTATGATCTGTCTGATTGGTTTCTAGATTCACCCAATAATCTGATTTTCTCAAGGTCATACATAGTTGATTGTTGATAATCATAACAATCAGTTGTTCTAATTTGATTTTGATTTTTTTTGATTATTTTTTGAGCTTTTAATTGAATTTTCTTCAACTATGTGAATGAGATTTTTGCAGTGGACGGTTGCCATTCTCTGTTCTTCCAGCCGCGATACAATAAAATTCACCTACCTACTTAAGCATGGAAGTCACCAGCTGTTATTACTGTATCAAAGTGCTGATCGTTTTGAAGAAGGTTAGAAAGCTTTCTGCGAAACTCATCTTTTACCTTGTCCAACCTACAATCAGTGGGGACGTAGGCTAAGACAACGAAGAGGCAACATCGCGTGTCCCTATCTTGACGTGTTCTTACTTCCCTGCGAGGTGCAGGAGTCGTGGGTGCGCACTGCTGATAAGTCCCATATCAGGACGAGTCAGTCAGTCAGTCAGTTGCAACGTAGAACTACGTACGTATGTACATAAGTTCTTGTTGCCATACCATATTAGCACACAGACGCAAATGTCACATCAAATCCCATAGTGATAAAGATAGTAGAGGCATTAATGGTAATGAAGAAGACTAGGGTTCGAAGATATTATTCAAGAAGTATAATTCAATGAGATAAGGTTAGAAAGACAAAGGTAGAAGTGTTGACGAATCCAGAAGATTAGGATTTGAGAGAGCATAACGAATGGAAGCACTTGCTCCATTGCAAACGATTTTGAGCCATGTCGTTCAAGGTCTCTAACCATTAGTGACTTTCGTCTCGCGGACCCCAACCAGGTAGTCTACATCTACCAACATGACTCAGTCCACTTGTTAGTGACTTCATGAATTTCTGCCTTGTTTTGGTCTGGCTGCCCGTAGCTTTCTTCCAACCTATTCCTACACCACAAAACATAGCTCGTCGTGGCAGTCGGTGGTTAGCCATACGTAACACATGTCCCAACAACCTCAACTGATGAAGTTTCAAAGCTTCATCTATTGATTTGCCATCCTTACCTAGTACACGTTTCCTAACGACAGCATTGCTTACTCGGTTTTCCCACGATATACAAGCAATGCTTCTTAAACATCTATGATCGAATACTAGTAACCTAAGAACATCTTCTACTCTTAACGGTCATGTTTCACATCCATATAGGAGAACGGAGCGAACTGCTGCGCAGTACACTCGTCCTTTGGTTAGCGAACGGATATCACGCCCACGCCATAAGTGACGCAGGTTGGCAAAAGCCAATCGAGCTTTCTGTATCCGTGCTGAGATTTCATCAGTCACTAGGCTATCAGCGCTGATGAGACTCCCCAGATATCAGGACGAAATAACAGTCCAGTGCTTACAGGTTTCTAATGGTGGTCCAACACTGATCGATTCATGATTTCATAATACGTAATTATGAGTTGTTATTTTTTGTTACTGTTGTTGGTTTCTTAAAAGAAACTTATTTAAATATTATATGCTTTGATTTCCGTATTGAACTAAACATCCAAAAATTAGTAAAGCCATTATTATTATTATTACTATTAATGTTGGGGATGTCAGCTCCCCAGAATTCGCTTGATAAATGACTTATTTTGGTTTTTACGTCTGCGAGCATGGGCTGATCAGTCGGCCTTGAGATTTCATTTCCCACCAGGAAAATCCATGGCTGTGATTGGCTGCTGTGTGTTATTTTAGTGTGCGCTATTTTCGTAACTGTCCCAAGGACGTTTCTATGATGGATAAATAAACGATAGTCGTATGCTTGATTGTATTGTGTGATTGCTGGGTGTTTGTAGAATATACTATCTGTGGTGTGTGCTACTTATACGGAAGATATAAGCAGTATAAGAATGGACGTGAAAGAAGAACTCTCACGGTCAGAAGAGGAAAACGGAAAGCAAATGGAGCAAAAGCAAGAAGTAAAGAGGGAGTACCAACAGGAAGTCAAGGAAGCAACAACAGGAATGGAAGAAGGATGGAGTATTGGAAGTCACGACTTAAAGATGGTGTGCAAATAGAATATTCAATGTAACGTTTTCGTTTTTAATTGACTAAGAGTGTAAATTTACTAAACACAATCCATCGCGCCTGCCTCAGTCTTCTCATTTCTCCGCTTACAATGGCTTCTTACTTCCGCTTGGGATTCAAGGTAGCCTACCTGGACGCTGGTAAAAGTCTCGTTCGCGTTTATCGACTAAAGTAAACTCGTAATAGCCTCAAGCATACTTAGTGACGAGCGTAACAATTATGTAGTTCCATGAGGCTACAAGCCAGGAGTCGCAACTAATTGAATTCAACAGTGTTAAGTTTAAAACTTTTATAAATATTATTGACAAATGAATACAACATGCCGTTCAATATGTCCAATGTTTCTCAAGGTTATTCAATTTTAAGGTGGTAAGGTAATACAATGTCACCACGAACTTGTTCCTTTGTACACACACTTGCTGAGAGCGATCGATATTAAACTTTAAGGCTAGGTGTTGTTGTATAGACAATGATCCGTATATGACATGTGCTCACAGTGACCGATGTAGGTAATCTAATCTCACCTGATAGATGAGTGTGATTATCAAAACGACTGGTACATTATTTACTCGGAGTGTAGTGAAGGAGAACACAGGTGAGAGCAACCGAATTGTATTTAACGAAAATTACAGAGTTACTCAGTAAAATAGGAAAACCATATCGTAAACGGTGAAATTTGCAAATCTTCAATCCATCATCAATCCATTGTCTGACATTTCACTTATTCATGCTATTTCATACAAATTCCATTGTGTTCCCACTCTTCTTACTTTCTTGATCTTCCCCCATCTTCTGCTGCCAGACATTACGTTTACACTCCCGCGCGTCATATACTACTTATAAGTAGCGCGCACCACAGGTGTACTTAAATGTTAGCGATAACCTCTAAATTATATTCAGTTATTAGCTAATCAAATCATATTGACACCATGAATCGATCAATGTTAGACAACACCATCAGAAACTGAGAAGTATCTGGCGACTGTTTCGGCTTAGTATGAGATAATCATCAGCAGTGCGCATCCCCTGCACACAGGAATTGAATTCACTACCTTTCTTCTCACGAACAAACGCCTAGCCACTCATTTGCGGAGGTCATGGATTGGCATTGCTGATGAGTCACATACTGGGACGAAGAGGTCATCCAGTGTTTCCAGGATTCTTCTAATTTTGGTCTAACAATGATTGATTCATGATTTTAAATAATAAGATCAGTTCGTAATATTAAAACAGGATACAAATTATAACAATTTCCATATAAATTACTGTACACTAAATTGAACATTGGATTTTCAAGCAAGGAAAAGTTGATGAAAGTCTGAAATAAATCAATAACTGTAGACAGTGTAACGTGTAATTAACTTCGATTCATTCTCATTGTTGCATAAAAGTCTTTCAATGTCATCAGTGATTAACTGCACACATAAGTGAGCTTCATTGGTCACAGCTTCAGGTTTTAAAACATCAAGAGTTACCTTTCAAAATTAAATATTACTTACTTACTTACTTACCTAATTACTTAAGGCCCGTTACTTACAATGAAGCATAGGCCGCCGATCAGCAGTCTTCAACGTACTCTGTTTTATGCCTTCATTTCTAGTTCATTCTTCGCATGTCTGTCTCCATTTCTCGGCGCAACGTGTTATTTGGTCTACCTCTTTTCCTTTGGCCTTGAGGATTCCAAGTCAGGGTTTGTCTTGTTGCGCAGTTGGGTGCTTTCCGTAATCCATGTGCTATCCTCCACTGGAATCTGGTTTGTTCTCTCTCACAGTAGATTGTTGCTGATGATGTCTGACCAAAGGATCCAAAGCAGTTTGCGTAGACAACCATTAATAAACTCTTGTGATAAAAAGTCTGTGGAAATTGAAATTGTTAAAACAAATTGTTTCGTTTTAAATTTGTCTTTCGTTTCAATATTCAATATGTACGTACATTTAACATTTTCATTGCCTTTTTTTATTTTTAATTTTTTTTAATTCAAATTAGAAATCGTCGTTCATTAGAACAATTATTACAAAATGTTGATAAAACTGCAATTGATCTCTTGTATAAAATGTTACATTTCAATCCACATAAACGTATCACAGCGTTGGAAGCTTTAAAACATCCATATGTTCGTAGGTAAGGCACAGTTTTATGAGAGAATTTTTGACTAATGGTATGTTTTGTCCTAGTTGAAACACATCAAACGTATTCACGACTGCACGAATGGATCTTGTGTGCGAATGCTTCGACTTTTTGTCCAGTGAATTCAATTTGAAACTCTTGATCATACTGCTGATATTAACACTTAATTTAAATCCTATTGAACTAAAGTTACAAACTTTTGACTAGAGTAGTTGAAGACCATCCCTTTTTTGATCGCTAATTTAGTATTTGACAGTGAAAAGTGACTACCAACACATTAGGAGTCTGATATGTTCGAAACCGTTGTGCTTGAAACGATTACGAGTTCACCTTACTTGGTAAACGGAGCGAAGATCAACGATACAGTGAAAAGATAGGCTATTCTAATCCGTTGTCCATCCCCGGCTAAATAAATCGAGAAGTCTTGATAAGGAGTAGAGGATGTATTCTACTGTGGTGGCCAGTTTCAACGTATTCTTAAAATTCGTAATCCACTCGTCTAGGCAATCAGCGCCACAAATAAGGCGTGACGGTTATAAATCATAAGGCAAATACGAAGTATCGATTTCGTTTATTTTTAGGACACCACAAGCAGACAGGGTAGGCACACTAGCAACCAAACTGGTGAATGTGAGAGTGTGCAAATGGACGAATGAATGAATGAATGAAGCGAAGTGGAGAAGGCTTGTGAGCCAACTCCTAGAGATAAAGCATGACCAAGAATTTATTGTCAGACAAAAATAAGACAGACATGTAGTAAACGAGTAGGCATGTAAGCACAAGAATGAAAGCGATGAATGAGTGACAAGGTCAAAAGACTAGTGGGACAGGTCATGAGAGTTAGGCATTGAATGACTCGTTACACTACAATCACCCAGAGGGTATGAGGTTGATAAGCACACAAATCGACCTTATTCATATATGATAGAAACATCTTTAGGAGAGGCACAAAAATAGTGTGCTAAAATAATCCACCAGCCAATGAAAGTCAAGGATTTTCCGAGTGGGAAATGTAAGCTCAAGGTCAACTAACCAGCATTTGCGCGAAAACCTAGAACATCCTAAATTAGGACCCTTTCCAAGTGAGTCCTGAGGATCTAACGTCCCCAACCGAATCATAACTAGTCTTTTTTTTAAGCTGAAGTTATGCGTAATATTTTCACGCCTTTTTTTTCTAGACTTGTGTTATTCCGTATTTGATGAGCATTTTTCTATTCGTCATTATATTCATGTTTTTTTATCCGGTTTGTTGAACTCTTGATAACTGAGATTCGTTCATAGCCAACCGCTGTAGATAACTGCAGAGGTTGGAAATAAAATCGCCTACTAATATATAGTATTCACTGAATAAAAAGTAACTGAAAGTGGCTAGGCTGAATGTACCAATAAGACATTTAAATATTGAGCGTAATCTCATTCATAAATGAGTTATATATCGTGGTTTTTTTGAACGGAACTTTATCAACCATTGTAGACACGATTTGAGATATTGATGAGGAACAATAAAATACGGTTTGTAAACTACATTAGTGAATAACAGAATTTTAAAAAAATGTTTCTGTATCGATTTCATTTCATGCATTCATTGATCAGCGATGGAAGATAAGAGATAGGAAATGTTGGAGGTGAACATGCGTACTCAATGGTTGGCTTAGTATCTTGAGATGGTGGAGAAAATTTGTAGCTCAGATGAATGGTTGTGATGGAGTTTCGGTCTCTGAGTTGAATATTTTGGTTGTGGATCTTTCATCATTGTTCTGCTGAATAATATTATCAGCACAAACTTCACATAGAAGATCAAGGTTAACAGAACAGGCTACGGGTCATACTCGTGGAGAAATTCAAATACTTCACTTCTTCCACCTGAAGATTGTGTTGACGATGTTGTTCAATAGAAGAATAATGAAAGCCACACAACTAAAACATCTAGCTCAGAGAATGAAACTCCATTACAATTGACTTAGTAGCTATAATCACAAGTATGTAACTTAACACATACTACTGTACACACATATTTAAGGTCACGTACATAAATAATGTAATGACTGGAAGAATAAGACCAGTTTATCTGTTCAAAGGTCGGAGTTAATCATGCTGGCAAGTAACCATACTAACTGATGCCGAACAAATGATTTGTTCGCTCATGTAATTCAAGAAAATCAAACGCCTTAATCCGGAATCACAAAACTATATCCGACTAGTTTCTATCATGAATACCTAAGTGACGATTGATTAAAACTATAGTTTACCGAAACAAAAACTGATACAATTTCAAATTCTGTGTTATTGGTTTCATTCATTATTTTTTACTTGAAATCATGAGAAGACTAATGCCAGGCCACTATTAAAAACCTGGAGGAACTGGACAGCCGTTTCGTCCTAGTATGCGGCTCTTCAGTAGTGCTCATCCACGACTCCTGCTACTCGCATGACCTAGCGCGCGAACGCTTAACCTCTAGACCACTGAGTCGGCATCCACTGGTGTTAATGTCTAAAGCCAATCACTCCACATTCATGCACAACTTCATCCACTGACTTTCATAGGCACTACTTCACATTCGAACAGGGTTGAATTCCATTGGTCACAACTTCTCACTAGAACTCGTAGAAACTTCCTTACACAGTTAACCACTAGTGAGCACATGATAATTTTTAAAATAAGGTTATGGAGATTGTTGAGTTTTACCATTTGAAATCATGAATTGATCAATATTTGATTGAATCATATTTTTCTGTTGTCTAATCCTTCCTCTATCAAATTCACTAGATTTTATTGTCCTAATGAAATTATGATCATGAATCATCATGTCACACCACCATTGGATGATAATGTTCAACTAACTGTATCTGAATATCGTGATCGTTTATATCAAGTAAGTGATGACACTTTTAATTATCGGTAGTTACAATTGGTAATATTTATTTGACATTGAACACACTGAAAGTTGTTTCATTGTATCCGATCAAGGAAATGGTGTAATGAAAGTGAAATTGTGATTGGTCATTGAGCGTGGACAGACAGGCACTTCATCCGCTGACTATTAAATCATGTGATTTTTTTCTTTTCTCCTGTTGATTTCTATTCGGAACTGTTTATGGTTGAGTGGAATAAAGTACTGTCTATCGATTACTATGGGGTTCTTTATTTTGTCACCAGCAGGTGGCTCCATGAAAAGAAGGAAATGTAACAACGTTCTTCTATGCACTGAATAAGTCGAAGCTTCTTTGAGTTCTATAGTAGTGAACGAGAACACACGTGGGGCAACCAAATTGTATTTAACGAAAATTACAGAGTTACTAAGTAAAATCGGAAAACCATATCATAAACTGTTCATTTGCAAAATAACAGTTCATCATATCGAACTGGACTGTTCCTGTTGCAAAACATCAACAATCCATTGTCACTATTCATGCGTTTCATACAAATTACATTGTGTTCTAACTCTTCCTTTCTTGATCTTCCCCCATCTTCTGCTGCCAGACATTACGTTGACACTCACGTCATATACTACTTATAAGTAGCTCGCACCACACTATGACTTTTATAATCGACGTTATGCAGTACTATGCTGTAAATCTACGTGAAACAGAGTAATTCGTTTATTCCTGTAGATCAGTGGCCTGAAAGGTTGACTGCGATGCATTGTACATGCAGCTTAAGGAATTACCTATTCATCATGGACATAGGACATATGACATAAGTATCAAGTGTTATTTTTTGGTGCATACACTAATGATAATTGATTTTTATTTTTGGGCCTTTTGGGGTTGCCTACTTGAATTGAATTTATGTTCCAACTGAAGGTGAGATCAATGGTTTGCTTTGCATTACATTGTAGACCTAACCTAGTTATATTTGATGTAATAAGGGTCATAACATCTCGTGTAGATTGAATGGAAGACAGTCAGCCGGAAAGCAACAACCGCAAATAAGAGAGCAAAATCGTAAAGTCGACTATAGTGCAGTCCGACTACAATGCGATGTTCTTACAAGACAACCTGTGTCTTCAACGACATTACCTTTCATTAAAAGGCTAAAAGTTACAGGGTCTATGCGTTAAAATGTATTGAGAATAGATACTGTGTGACCTTCACCAAGCAACTGTCCGAAATGTACTTAACACTTACTCTCACGATAACTTGAAACAAAGCTTTTTCTGATAGGCTCTGACAAAAAAGTATTTCCAACGATGTAGAGAACTTGAAAGTGGCAACTACCGGCACTAGGAATAAATTTCTTTTCTTACTAACTTACGCTTGTTACGCACAATGGAGAATTGGATGCCGACCAGCATAATCCAACTTACTCTCTCGTGGGCCTTCTTTTCTAGACTCACCCAGATGCTGTTCAGTATTTTCATATCCGATTCTGATTCTCAGCCTGATGTGTTCTCCAGTCTGTTTTTTTTCCTCTGACCCTGAAGATTTCAAGTTAAGACTCGCCTTGTAATGCAATCGGGTGATTTCCGCAATGTGTGTCCTATCCACTTTCAGCGCTTCTTCCCGATTTCTTATTTAGCTGGGATCTGGTTTGTTCTGTCTCATAGTAGGTTGCAGATGACGGTGTCTGGCCAGCAAATCCTAATAAATATTTTGGGTAGACTACTGTTAATAAATATTTGTATTTTCCGGATGATGGCTTTCGTGCGTCACCAAGTTTCCACCCCATACAATAGAACTATTGTCTTGAAGTTCATATTGAAAATTCTTTCTATGCTGTTGGTTGATAGTTATTTTGAAGTTTCAGATGTTAAATTTTTCTTTCCAATTGAATAAATACCATGAGATATCTCTAAAAGACAACCAGCATCTTCAAATCTCTGCCATTTCATAAGGAGAGGCTAGCAGACGTTGAATATAAAATAAAGCAATTCATTTTGCGTTGCTCATATCCGTTTTAGATAGAAACAGCTGAAGGCTACAGAGTTTATGCGCTACTGAGCCGATTGTTACTTACTTACTCCTGTTACTCCTCTTGGAACGTAGGCTGAAGACCTGCATTCTGCAACCAACTCGGTCCTGGGCCTTTCTTTCTAGTTCGCTCCAAATGTAGTTCATTCTTCTCATGTCTGTCTCCATTTATCAGAGTAATTCATTACTTGGTCTTCCTCTTTCCCAAGTGGGGGTTTGCTTTGTGATGCAGTTGAATGATTTGTCAGTGCGTGGCCTATCCACTTCCAATGCTTGTTCTTGATATCTTTCTCTGTCGGAATGTGATTTGTTCTCTCTCAAAGTGCGCTGTTGCTGATGGAGTCTTGCAGACGAATCCTCCCACAGTATCTTGCGTAGACAGTAATTGTGTATCTTCAAGATTATGGCTTTCGTATTTGTTCAAGTTTCCACCTAATACAACGTAACTGTCTTGCCACAGGTATTGAGAAGTCTGATTTTGATGTTGATTGGTAGCTCTCTTTAGTTCCAGATGTCATTGTATTGTAGAAATGTTGCTCTTGCTCTGCCGATCCGTACCATCATATCTGCATGAGATCCACTTTGCTCATCAGTGATGCTATCCATATATGTAAAGGTTTCTACATCCGCCAAAGCTTCTCTGTCATGTGTGATTTGTTTTGTGCATGTTGTGTTGTATCGAAGGATCTTGCTCTTTCCTTTGTGTATGTTGAGGTTTGCTGCTGCAGAGGCTACTGCTACACTGATCGTCTCCTTCTGCATTAGTTGTTGTGTGTGGTATAGAAAAACCAGATTATTTGCGAAGTCCAGATCGTTCAGCTGCATCCGAGCTGTACACTATATTCTATACTTCCCCCAGATGTTGATGTCTTCATAATCCACTTGATTACCAGGAGAAAGAGAAAGGATGAGAGTAAGCAACCTTGCCTGACACCAGTCTTCACGTCAAACATGTCTATGAGCTGTCCTCTGTACCTAAATTAATGATTACTCTGATTGTCATTAGGGGACATCAGCCTTCCGAAGAAACTTGACTTTCATCATGCGCCGTAATAACTCTTCGAAATGAAGACCTTCTAACTTCCAGATCAGAGTTTGAATGTTATGAATTATTTATTCTGGTTAACGATCTTTTTTTGAGCCAGTTGGTTTTCTACGAGATGGGGTCACTAACCCCATGCCTAACGCTGCTGCATTATCTTCGGGTTTCAGACTGTAGGAGTCACCCACAGATGAGCTCCAGTCCCAGAGTTCATCATCATTCTGTTTATGGTTAATAATCTGTTTATTTTATTCTTTTTTTTTCTCATCTCATCTACCTGATCGCCTCTTCGTCATCATCACCAACCACTTCAGATGATTAGTTCTAAGAAGACTACTAGTACAACCACAGTAGCAACAGCCAAAACAATAGTCACAGTTCAAAATGGTATCAATAAACCACATTCGATTAAGAAAAAGCACATAACTACAGGGATTCCTCAACCTCTTACTGATTCAACATGTCCACATGGGAAAAAACAACAATCCACTATGAATCATCATCAAACAACAGCAACAACAATTAAGCAACAGGACTATCATCAAGATCCCCTTGGTGCGCCTTCATCTCAGCAGGAACAACTGCCGGATCAACAGACCCGCCCTCAAGTTCATTTTGATGACAACAATAAGAACAAGAATATGAATTCCAGTCAGAAAAATCATGTTGTCTGTGTACAAGTGAATTTATTACACAATCATCCAGTCAGTGATGATGGCAAATTGACAAGTTCACCATCGAAATCACCTAAAATGTTATTAGCTAATGATAAGACTGTTAATAATTCCAAAAATATCACTACTTATGTGGATTGTAATATTACTACTACTACTAATAATAATAATAGTATAAGTAGTAGTAGTTGCAGTCAGTTACACAATAATCATCATGATACCGATTATGAATACAATAACACAGTGATTGATGTATTGCATCGTTCAACATCTTCATTATTATCAATGCCATCAACATTGTCAACTTCAACAGGATCCGCAACAGCAGCCACATTGACAACAGCAGCTGCAGCAAACGTTGCATTCTCACCAGAACAAACAAGTCAGTTGAAACAACAACCCTATTGTCGAATACAATCTACATCACAAAACTCTATGATTAATTCAAATAAACCGGTGGTTGTACATCCTAGTCCAATGATTCGTTCAAATTCAGTGAATAAAATGCCGAACAGTGAATATCAAACATCAAGAAGGTTAGTAATGTGAATATAAAGTGTACTATTAATTATGTGTTTAACATTTTCTCATTGTTAATTTGTAGAAATTGATCGGTTGGTATTCGTTAAAGATTGGTCTTAACTGAGGAGTGAAACGTTAAGTATTTGTCATTGAAACTGAAAGTAGCGGATTTGATTCTGTTACGCCTGCACGTAAACACGTCAACTTGATATACTTGAATTATTACGAGTTTACCTTAGTCGGAAAAACGAGAGCGAGGATCGACGATCCGGCGACACGTTATGCTATTCAAAACCGATTATCCCAACCCCCATATTGAGTAGAAATGAGAAGGCGTGATATGAAGTAGAACATGTATTCTACAAGCATTCAGAAAGTACGAGGTCCGAATCCAGAAGAGAATCCGGATCCCGGAATAGGGATCCGGGACCGGGTCCTGATCCTGGTCCTGGTCATAACAGGTTAAAGATAACGCGTATTTATACATTTTGGTCAAATAGGAAACAATATCGAATTCTGTGACATTGACAGTTAAGACGACCAATAAGAAGCAACATTTGAAATGACATTGATAGTCAGGTTAACCAATAAGAAACAACATTGGAGCACGTGACATTGATATCTAGGATGAACATAAAATTGACCAGTAGGAATTAAACAATATGAATTGACCAATAATTCTCTTAGGATATTGTATGAATATCCTAACAGATTCTTAGGTGATATTTTAATCTCTGACTACTGAAGAATCCATTCTACAGTAAGGGAATAGAATTGTTTAAGGTTCTCGAATTTTCAATTTATGACGAATATAAATAATTCATAAATGAAAAAACCTACTACAGACCTCTTTGAAACTTTAATTCAATAGATTTTACCTCATATCAGTAAACCTAATTATTAACTTACTTGTTCACAACTGTTACCCTCGGTTACTGCCGCTCAGTGATCTACGACTAACTCTGTCGTCGGCCTTCTTTTCCATTCCTACCTCTTTTCCTTTGGCTTTGAGGATTTTAAATTAGGGCAGTTGGATGATTTCTGACTAAAATGAAAGTGATCTAGCTGAACAAGTCCGTACTACCAATGAATTGAATAGTTGGACGGTAAACTACGCAGAGATTGAGACCACATTATACTAGAGACCTGAATCTCAAGTGAAATAGAGTAGCAGATTAAGTGATAGACAGTGTACCTTATCTCATACAATTGAAAAAGGTCACTCACAGTGAATTCAGCGAAAAAAATCAATAACGGGGAAGAAAGTCACATGATTTTATAGTTAGCAGACAAAGTGCCTGTTTGTCCACGCTCAGTGTCGCTCACTACCGTATATCTGTTGCAGCAGTAACATCTACAACAATAGGTCTTAACATGAACAAGGGACAGCGCAAAAACCTTCGATACAAAATAGCATGCTTCAACCAAATCACACTTGACGGAAAAGCTTTAGAAGTTGTATAAAACTCTACATACTTGTGTAACATCACTAATAAACAAGGTGGATCTAATGCAGATGTGAAGGTACGGATTAGCAAAGCAAATGGAGAATCTCTACAATTAAAGAACATCTACAAATCAAAACATCTGTCTACCAACACCAAAGTCACACGTTAAAACCGTTCTATTGCATCGAGCGGAAAATTTAGGGAACTATAAAAGTCTGTATTGTGTCTATTTACTGAGTGTTCTTGATGTTTGTGATTAGCTCGTCCAGACAATCGTTACTAAATGACGTCTGACGGTTTATAAATCAGAAGGTGAATTCGTAGTGTTGAATACGTTTATTCGGGACACACCACAAAGCGAAGTTGAAAAGCAGCGAACAAAGTGTACAAAACGACTTGAATTGGAGAAGGCTAATGAGTCAACTCCAAGAGATAGAGCATGACTAAGAATATATAGTCAGACAAAAAATAAGACAGACATGTGACAAGCGAAAGAGACATGCACACACATGAATAAAAGTGACGAATGATTGACAAGGTCAAATGACAAGTGGAACACGTCATGTGAGCTCATCGTACAAACCAGACAATAATAAGAACGAATGGTACAACATATAAATTGTTGCAATATACAAGTGGCTTGGTTAAATGAATTAATCGAAAGGGCTTAATCAAATTATATGTAAGCCAACTGGAATGTATGTGGAGGCACTACAAGTCATCATTCAAAATATACTGGTGTTTATTAACAGCTATCTACTCAACATAACCCATCATCTGTTGACCAGACACCATCAGCAACCACCTGGTGTGGGTGACAAAAATTCAGAATCCACCTGACGAAAAAGTCAGGAAAAGGGGGTGTACAAAAATCCCACAACTGCGTCACGAGGCAAGCCTCCACTTGGAATCCTCAAGATCAAAAGAAAAGAATAAGACCAAGGAACATATTGCGTCGACAACCGGAGCTTGACATGAAAAGGATGAGAAGAACTGTAGAACAGATTCGGAGGCCTAAGCTCCTCGACGGGTAGCGGGCGTAAGTAACGAAGTAGGTAATCACACATCAGACATCTTCTTCGATCACAGAACATCAGTATGTTCAGTGGTCATTCATGTTGATACTATCAAACTGCTATACAGCTATTCATCGTTCTAAATAGTAATCTAAATGGTAATCAACCTGTAACGGTAGCCAATTTCGAAATGTGTACATAAACAACCTCTTCTTCTTTATTCCTTAGATATTCCACTGTTACTCCTTCATATTATCCGCCACAATTATTGTCAAAGTCCAATGTTGTTTATGAACCAATTGAAATGATCAATGCACAATTACAACACAATCGACTATTCAATCGAAATCATTCTCATCGTAGTAGCAGTAGTAATAGTACTACTACTACTACTACTACTACTCATCATTGTAATTACAATCGACCACCTTCTTATCAATCCAGTTTGAATTCCGGTTCGAATTCACGTGTGACCACATCGAATTATTATTATTTCAGTGCAGTTGGCGCAGATAAAAAATATGCATTATTGCCTAATTCCTTTGACAATGTAATGGTAATATTAATTTGAATATTTGATAATTTTGTGTGATGATGCTTGGTTTGATATTTTTTAAACAATATTATTTTTAAAAAAAATAAAACCTATCCTATATACATGTAAATTCGGTCTTGCGCGCGAACGCTTAACCACTCTGTGTTACGCCTGCACGTAAGCACGTCAACTTGATATACTTGAATTATTATTACGAGTTTACCTAGTCAGAAAACGAGAGCGAGGATCGACCATTCGGCCACACGACATGCTACCCAGAATCCGATTATCCCAACCCCCATATTGAGTAAAAATAAGAAGACGTGATATGAAGTAGAACATGTATTCTACAGGCATCCATAAAGTGCGAGGTCCGAATTCAGAAGAGTGTCAGGATCTCGGACTGAGGATCCGGGACCGGGTCCTGGTCATAAAACGTTACAGATAATGCGTATCTATATATTTTGGTCGAATAGGAAACAGTATCGAATTCTGTGACATTGACAGTTAAGACGACCAATAAGAAGCAACATTTTAAGTGACATTGACAGTCCAGATGACCAATAAGAGACGACATTGAAGTATTTGACTTGGACAGTTAAAACGACCATAATTTTGAACAATAGAAATAGACCAATAGGATTTGACCAATAATTCTCTTAGGATATTGGATGAATATCCTAATACTCTGGAACACCAAGTCAGCATCCAACGGTGTTCATGTCTAATTCTGAGGTTAAGTTTGCTAGATCCTTAGATTGATCAAAGTTAGATATGAACACTATTGTAAACTGGCTCAGTGTTCTGTAAGTTAAGAGTTCGCGTACGAGACTGAAGGTTCTGGCTTCGAATCCTGCGAGCGGCAGGAGTCGTGGATGTACACTGCTGATAAGTCCAGACCAGAACCAGACGGCCATCCTGTGTTTGCAGGTTTCTAATAGGGACCTAACAATGATTGATTGATGTAAAATAACGATCTGCATAAAACTATAATGCAGAAATATGTGTAAACAATTAGGTGATGAGTTTTACATAGATTTGAATGAAGGTCTTCAAATTTGTTGAAGACCTTAGATCCCTATAATCCACCAGGTATTTTATTTTCGGAAATTTGAATTTTTCGTTTTCGCGCCAAAACTGCCTATTTATTACCTTAGCGTTCGTATTTCTCACACGGAGGGACCTTAAACCTTATTGGTCAGGTTTCTCTTTTGATATACCACTTTGTTACTGTTCTAAGGACATTTTTACTGCATAAATGACGCTTGAATTGAAGGTTTGTTAATTTATTCGCTTGGTACTGCTTGTGGATTATGCATACTTCCTTCTGACCTTGGACTTCGTGCCCCAGTTAGTTGGACTAGGTCGCTGAGAATGTGCTACACTAATGTTGTGTCACTGGTTTATGTTCCGTTCACTAATATCTAATCTGATTTTGATTAGAGCAAGCACAGCGATATTCAGTACATAGTAATATATCTATCTGAATAGTTTAAGCAAAGCAGTCAAAATGTTTTCACAACATGTGATACATATCACTTGTTCATGTATATCAACCCCAAATCTAGCTGTTTGATCATACTCATAGCATGTGTTACACATGGCTTACCATCGACTAGTTCAACCAGGAATACTGTCTGGTGTAGAAGTAGCTTATAAGAAAGTCAGTGTCCATCGAACTAAAACACGGCACTAGTCGATGAAATTATTGACAATGGAACTGAAGTGAACTATATTAGCAGGTGGTCGATGCCCGCGAGACAATCATAACCGCTGGCTCAAAATTGTTTGCAGTGATACAGATGCTTCCTCCATTTGACGTCTTACAAATACTAGGCTTGTTAATCACTCATAACCCTTTTCTTGGAAATTTGGTTTCACAGGTTTGTTAACTTAACCAGCACGGGATTTGAATTGACAATTTCATCTATCTATGCTTATGTGTTATGACAACTTGAACTGATGTATGTGTACTCATCGAGTTCTGATATTAGTACTGATTAGATGAATTCAATTGTTATTGAAGGGACTCTGAACCTTATTATTTTACAAACAACACAAGTTTTGATATTGATAAGAGATCATACATTTTGAGGTGCCAAATAAGCTGAACGTATTATGATCAGTAATTTGTGGAAAAGTAACTTAACCAACTGACCAGTTGTGGAAATCTCCTGTGAATCTTCATACTAGAGCAACGCTACAATCCAAAGCATCCCAATTTTCAAAGTCTGGCTAAGATAAATTATTTTCGGGCAGAGTTTTGGAGGTTTGTGTTTTTACACGTTTGAAATAATCAATCAATTATTGTTAGACCACCATTAGAAACCTGGAAGCACTGGATGGCCTAACCATCGGACCACTGGGCCGGCATCCAGCGGTGTTAATGTCTAACTCTGATTGATCTAGGGGTTTCGCGCGACCTCACCCATTTGTCTTTGATAGTTACTGCCTACACCCGACAGGGTTGAACTCCACTGGTCGTCACGTCTTCTCACTAGAATTCCGAGAATTTCCTCACGAAGCTAGTCACCACTAGTGAGCACTGTTACGATATTTTCGGTCAGAATTTCGGAGGTTTGTGTTTTTTTACACATTTGCAGTCATCAATCAATCATTGTTAGACCACCATTAGAAACCTCGAAGCACTGGACGGCCGTTTCGTCCTGGTAATGTTAACTAAAAGGTAAATGTATTTCATAACTGAGTTAATTTGCCTCACTGAATTTATCGGCAGAGTTCTTTTTATTACTGGTAACTTTTACAGTAAATATCAAAGTTCGATCTGTCGATTGTGTTTGTTTTCTACGGGATTAGATCACTTACCCCATGCCAAACCCTCCACCTATACCCGGGATTTGGACTGTCAGAGTAACCCCCGAAGGGCTCCAGGCCCAGTGTCGCTTGTATGTATAGAACGATCATCGTTTATTTTCCACATCATTTAACTGACTAATCGTTTGTATTTCACTTTTATTTGAAACAATAATCACTCAGCATTGTTTTCTACTTTTCTGTTTCACATTAGGTAACCACCACCTCACAACGTTTGTCTGATTTTGATCAATCTGAACGACGATGCGAAAATCGTTACGTATCATCACAACCAGAAAATTTATCATTAAATCAAGAATATGAATATCTTCATGGAATAAATGATAAATATGAAAATTCTGCCAATCATTCAAATCATTCTAGCCATAGTTTTTTATACAATGAAAAATATTGTTCAACATCAAATATTCATGAAAATTTATTTAAGGATAATCATAAAACTGACACTAATTTGACAGAAAATACTACTCCATATGAATATGAGAATAAAATTTCGGCATTTTCTTCATCTAACATTGAATTACCATCAAAATGTGTACAACAATCAACAATTAATCGATCGAAAGATGATGATATCAAAGGGACAATTACTGAATGTAAGTTGAGTTTATATCAGTTTATTCAGACTAAATTTTGAGGATATTTATTTATGCTACTTAAATAAATGTGAGTAGCACAAAATGTTTGAAGGAATTGTTTAACATATTCTTGATATCAGAAATGAAACGTATTTTTCTCAGAAACCCTAAAGACTATAATTTTTCACTTTGTAATGTAACAATATATGAGTGATTTGTAACACTTTTATTAATAATTACAATATGCAGGTTTTATGTAATGTTTGAATAGAGAAATAAGAATACATATTTTGTGAGATAGTACCATTTGGTGCATTCTCGTCAGTCACATATATACAAGCAACATGTTATTCGTGTGTAAATACAGTTTTGAAGATAAGGTCAAAATTTCTTATTTAGCATGACATTCACTCACTAGAACCATGGTAAACAAAGGTCAACATACAGTTGTTTTTGAACACATAAAGTTGGACTTTTCCGACCAATCAAGATAGCTTCGAGTAGTTTGAGTGTGTGTGGGTTTTGATGACATGCATGTCACAACTCTGAAGGCTGATTTCAGGTCAGTTTGATGACCACTCATTATTAGATGTTTTGCAATGGACGAGGCTGGGTTTCTTGATCGATTTTGAGATGATGGGCTAGGTTGATGAATCATGGATTTGATTAGCCATTTTAGAATATGTTCCCCTACCTGTCTTCCAATCGGCGATCTGTCCTCCCTAAGTAACTTTCTCCGCAGTTACATGTGAATTGGTAAATACAGTGGGATTTGGACCCAAAATTAGCCTTTAAAGTTGTGACATGTCATCAAAACCCACACACACTGAAACTACTCGAAGCTATCTTGGTTGGTCGGAAAAAATTCCAACTTTATGTGTTCAAAAACAACAAACAACTGTTGACCTTTGTTTACCATGGTTCTAAGTGAGTGAATGTCATGCTAAATAAGAAATTTCGACCTTATCTTCAAAACTGTATTTACACAAACAACATGTTGGTTGTATGTGACTGACGAGAATGCACGAAATGGTACTATCTCACAAAATATGTCTTCTTATTTCTCTATTCAAATTTATCAAAGGGAACCACTGTTTTGAATTTATATAATGTGACATTCATAGATGTTTTCTGTGACTACTGGTCAATGATTGCTATTGATTAACAAAGTTAGAATTGAGAGTGTGAAGATATCTAAGATTTAAAACTATGCTTGTTATCATTTCAGCGAATAAAATTTAGTCCGACTTTCAATGTTTTGTTTTAACACTGCAAATTTTGTTTGATTACTGGGATTTTTTGACCAATTAGACAAGCGTAACATCAGTCACTAATAACTAACTGACCAATCCAGTGTAAATTTTTCAGTACAAAAAGAGGTCATTCACTATCCCATGTAAATCTAGAAAAGTGTCTGTAAGTATGAAGTTGGATTACCTGGATTTGAATTCTATAGATATTATAAGTTTCCTAAAGATTGAAGTTTCTATTAAACTAATATGAAAACTTTCAAGATATTCTGTCAACTAATTCAGCGGAGTAACTAATGATTTAGTCAATTCATGTATAGGGCTATTACATGCTTATTTCTGTTACCGTAATGCAGCATAGGCCACCAATCAGCGTTCTTCAAACTGCTCTGTCCTATGTCTTTCTTCACTGTCCATTCTTTCCATGCTTGTCTCCGATCTTCGGCCATATTGCATTCTTTGGTTCACCTCTTTTCCTATGGCTTGGACGATTTCGAGTGAGGGCTTGCCTGCAGATGCAGTTATATGATTGCCCCAATATGAGTCCCATTCGCGTCCAGAGTTTTTTCCTTAATTCCTTATGAGCTGCTATCTGGTTTGTTCTTTGCCGTTGTGGGTTGTTACTGGTGGTTCCTAGCTAATTGGATCCAAAGTATCATGTGTAGATAACTAATGAAAACCACCTGTTTCTTTCCGATGATGGATTTCTTAGTTCTCCGAAATTTCCACTCCAATCAGCGAAACTGCCTTGACATTTATATTAAACAGAAAGAATGTGTTTTTTGAAGGTGCGCAATGAAATCAATGAAGACAATCTCCGACTGTTGAGTTTTCGAGTAATCAAGTCTTGGATAGAAATGTTTTTATTGCTAATTGCTATGTCTGTCACTGTTAAGCTCACAGATTCGTGACTGATTTGTGCTTGGTTCCGAAAGTCACGAATGTTTAGTGAGAACACATGGACTGGCTGTATGAATGTATTCAACCAATAATTCAGTTCTCAGCTAACCTCTTGGGCTGTTGAACACACAGTCTTATTTTCCCCAAAAATTCGAAAAAATTAAGCTATTTGATGGTAAACTAGAGGACAAGATCATTGTTAGACTATATCATTAGAAATATAGAAACATTGAACGGCTTCTTCGACTTAGTATGGGACTGATCAGAGGTGTGTATCGAGAATCCTAATTCGCGGGAATCGAACTTCGAGCCCTAGGCATGGCATATGAACTCTCAACCTCTAGACCACTTAGTAGACATCCAAATGTGTTATTGTCTAATTTTAATCAAACCAAGGTATCGAGCAACCACACTCATGTTTTCAATAGGTCACTGCCCACAACTGACAGTGTTAAACTCCGCTGATCATCTGCTCACTGGTTTCGAGGTTAAACGCTCACTCTCTAGACCGGAGGTTTCGGGTTCAAGTTCCGTGAGTAAAGATCCTGAATGGGCACTGTTGCTGATTTACATACTAGGACGAAGAAGCCGTTCATTGCTTCCAAGTTTCTAATGGTAGTCTAACAATGATCGATCCATGTTTTAAATGAGTCTAACCAATCAATCTTCACAATTCTCAATAATGAAATATCATTGTTATGTTCGTTTATCGATTGCACCCTAAACGACCGTCAAAATCATTCAACTGAGTAGTAATCAATAACATAACTTATTGGGTAAACGCACAAAAAATACCCTACAATTATGCCTCCATGATAAACTGAATATGATGATTACATGTAACGAACAATTACGTTCAAATGTCAATCATACTACAGTCTATCTACCTATTCATTTGTTTGTTTTTAATATCAGTCAGTATATTAATGTGTCACGTTTTCAACTGAACAAACCGATCGATGAAATGTATTTCTCTGGTTTTGTTTTCAAATTCATCCTTTTTAGGCACTCTTCTTCATAAACCAATGCATAAGACTACACGTGATCACAGTTATAACGGTAATCGAAATCAGAAAGATTCAATGTCCAATCAGTTGAATTCAATAAATCAAACAACTAAAGAATTGGATTATGAATCACCATTCAACATAAATCAACCACATACTAATGATTATAGCAATTTTCAACAGAACAGAGTAAATTAATGTTGTTCTTTGTTGGTTGTATTGTGATGCAATTACCTGTGCTCACTAGTGACTAGCTGCGTGAGGAATCTCCTCCAAGTTCTAGTGGGAAGTTGTGACTAGTGAAGTTCAACCTGTTTTCGGGTGTAGACAGTAACTACTACCGAAGACAGTGTATGAGGTTGCGCAACTCCGTGGATTGATCGAAGTTAGACATTAACACCGTTAGATACCGGCTCAATGGTCTAGATGTTAGGCGTTCGCGCGCAAGACATAAGGTCCTGGGTTGGAATCCTGCGAAGTGCAGGAGTCGTGGATGCGCACTGCTGAGGAGTCCCATACCGGAACGAAACGGTCGTCCAGTGCTTCCAGGTTTCTAATCGTAGTCTAACATTGATCGAATCACGGTTTCAATAAAACTTAACAATCTTCACAACCCCGTAATACAAATTGCCTGTGCTCACTAGTGACGACGACTAGCTTGGTAAGGAATCTTCTCCGAGTTCTAGTGGGGAGACGTGACCAGTGAAGTTCAATCTAGTCGGGTGTAGACAGTCACTACCGAAGACTGTGTATGAGGTTGCACAACTTCGTGAATCGATCGAAGTTAGACATTAACACCGTTAGATACCGGCTCAGTGGTCTAGAGGTTAGGCGTTCGCGCGCAAGACAAGGTTTTGGGTTCGAATCCTGCGAAGTGCAGGAGTCGTGGATGCGCACTGCGAATGAGTCCCATACCAGGGCGAAACGGTCGTCCAGTGCTTCTATGTTTCTAATGATTGTCTAACATTGATCGATTCATGATTTCAAATGTGTAACTTTACAAACTTCATAACCACGTAATGCAATCAATATATAAATGTTTTAGTTATATCAAACAATTCAATCAACCAAGTACGGTAGGATTTAATATTTCTTGTTTTACTAAATACGGCATGCGTATAGTTGATCAATTTTTTAATGTTTAGGTTTCGGTGATTGAGATGATTGTCAAATTCTATTGATTCCTATCTTCTGACTAATTAGTACATAGGTATAAATAAATTTTCATTAGAGACTAATGAAGATTGTTGAGTTTCATTGAAATGATAAATCGGTCGCTGTTAGACCACCGTTAGAAACTTGGAATCACTGGATGGCCATGTCCGTGTAGTATGAGACTCATCAGCAGTGCGCATCCGTGACCAGTGTAGGTAAACCCTGTTGGGGAGTGGGCAGTAACTACCGAAGACAATGGGTGAGGTTGCTAAATACTTTGGATTGTTTAAAGTTAGAAATTAACACCATTGGTTGTCAACTCAGTGATCCGGAGGCTAATGGTTCGCACGTATGACCGAAAGTCTCATGCGAAAGGATAGTGGATGTACAGTTCTGATAATTCCCACTCTAGAACGAAACAGCCATCCAGTAATTCCAGGTTTCCGATGTTGTTTTAACATTGATCAATAAAACTCGATAACCTTCATTACCGTATACTGAGCTGCGTTATCATAGAATCCATGTTAAGAGGATGCACTTACCAAAGCAACTAAAACATTCACCGTCAACATCGAAAATATTATCCAGACTCATATATACATCCATACATACATAATGAGGAATTCATATACCTAGAACAAATTTGTTCCTATTAGTGTAGTGAAGGTGAACACAGGTGCGGCAACCGGATTGTATTTAACGAAATTACAGAATTACTCAGTAAAATCGGAAAACTATATCGTAAATCGTTCATTTGCAAAATATCAGTTCATCATATCGAACTGGACTGTTCCTGTTGCAAAACATCAACAATCCATTGTCACTCACTATTCATGCGTTTCATACAAATTCCATTGTGTTCTAACTCTTCCTTTCTCTTGATCTTCCCCCATCTTCTGCTGCCAGACATTACGTTGACACTCACGTCATATACTACTTATAAGTAGCTCACACCACATTAGGACTAAATGGTTCTATTTGAATGAATCTTTGAATGTTTGAAACAACAAGTATTGTGTTCAAGTTTCAACTATGAACACTGAAATTGAACTATACGTATATTCAGCTGAAATTTATCAAACAGAAGGACTTCACTGTGAGCCATACATAAAATAAGTATGGTAAGACTTATAACGTAACACTACATTGTTACAGCCTGTTCATCTGCTTTGATTTTTAAAAAAATGTACTATTTTACATTTTTTTCGTCAAACTTTTAAACAAATCACTTTCACAACTTTTCTCCTTAATTATTAAACAGAGAAACAGTAGTCAATCAAATTATGAATCATTATCATCAATGAATATTCAACAAAAGTTAAAAATCATTCAAGGTTCAACCGATATTCAAAATTCAATGTTCCAATCGAAAATCTCCACATCTTTAAATAATCTCAGAGCGAAATTTCATGACAATCAATCACAATCACAATCACAATTGTTGACACAACAACAAGGACAGAGTTATCATCATAGACATCAGTCAGATCACAATGTATCCAAGTACAATCGTACCACCAACCAATTGAGTAACAACAATTCGAATAACTGTTACAGTTATCAAAAGACCAAAAGAGATGAAAAAACTTTAGATGTAAGTTATGGTTAGAAATAGAAAAACGTTAACACAATAAGTTAAATTCGAAAATGAATTAGTAACCTAATGATTGGATCATTTTTGGCCAATTTGGTATGAAATCAAATGAACTGGAAATATATTTATTGATATGTGTCATACTACTGAATTTATATAAAGTAGCTACGAAATGTTTGCTGAAAATATCGCCAGACCTAATGTCTTGGGTTCAGATCTTGCGAGAAGCAGGAGTCGTCGATGCACACTGCTGATGAATCCCGTAGGAGGATGAGACGGCCATTCAATGCTTCCAAAATATAAGTCTTCTATTGTAAATATTAGAATTAGAATAGGATTAGTTTATCTATGTCAGACTGAAGCCAAATTTACAAGAGTTTTGTTGATAATTCATCAGGAAAGAGGAAATCCTATTTCTTAATATCAGGAATCGATTGTGGCTGTTCAATTTATCAAGTGTTCATTATTTTCAATTTTATTGTTATATTTCCATGAAGATAGTTGTTTTTACACATTGAAATCTTGAATGACTAACTGTCAGACCACTATTCGAAACTTAGATGCGATGGATGGCCGTTTCATTCTGGTACGGAACTCATCGGCTGTGCACACCCGCGACTCCAGCTACCCACAGGAACTAAACCCAGGAAATTCAGTTTTGCATGCCGACGCTTATCCTAAAGACCAATGAGCCTTCGTCCATTGATGTTAATGTCTAACTCTGACCAACCTAAGGGTTTCATGCAACCTCACCCACTGTGTTCTCTAGGTAACTAACTACACATGACATGGTTGAACTCCACTGATCAGATCTTCTCACTAGAACTCCGAGAATGTTCTTACGGAGCTAGTTATACTAGTGCCCATCATATTTTTGATTATGGCATTCAAGTACAATAGAGATCGTTATTTTAACAGTGCTACCAAGTTCCTTTTAATGCTAATATAACAATCACTCATTCATGATTTTAATGTCATTCCCTGTTACGCATGCACGTAAACACGTCAACTTGATATACTTGAAATATTACGAGTTTACCTAGTCGGAAAAACGAGAGTGAGGATCGAGGATCCGGCGACACGACATGCTACTCTAATCCGATTATCCCAAACCCCATATTTGGTAAAAATAAGAAGACTTAATATAAAGTAGAACACGAATTCTACAGGCATCCAGAAAGTACGAGGTCCGAGTCAGGATCTCGGACTAGGGATGAGGGACTGAGTCCTGGTCCTGATCGTGGTCATAAAACGTTACAGATAATGCGTATTTATACATTTTGGTCGAATAGGAAACAACATCGAATTCTGTGGCATTGACAGTTAAGACGACCAATATGAAGCAACGTTTGAATTGACATTGATAGTCAGGACAACCAATAAGAATGAACATTTGAAATGACATTGACAGTCCGGATGACCAATAAGAGATAACATTGAAGTATTTGACTTCGACAGTTAAAACGACCATAATTTTGACCAATAGAAATCGATCAATAGGAATTGACCAATAATTCTCTTAGGATATTGGATGAATCTACTAGCATTTCCCCATAAAAATGAAGTATTGAATTTTTGACTAATTCATCATCTCTCTCTTTTTTCAGGTATACACAACTAGTCAAATTCCTCGACCAAATATAACTACCATAAAAAAACCTCTCATTGTAATGAATTCATCAAAAATCACCGACTTAATTGATCAATATCAAAATATTCATTTCCCCAAATCGAATTATTCACATCAATCAATAGACAGTAGTAGTAGTAATATTATATCCCCACCACTAAAACCATCCTCAAATAAACATTATTCACCTTCACCAATGAAAATTAAATTTAGCCCGCCAATTCAACATTCAATATCAACAACTAAAACAACAACTACAACATTGAATCATGATCACGTGACATCAAGTAAACTGAATTCAACGAATGGAATTTGTACAAATGAAGCAAGAATTCCATTCAATACCGTTGCTCAACATTCTTCTTCCAATGTAAGCCTAGTGCGTATTATGAAAAATCATCAGAATTTAAATGACAAACATTTGCCGATTATAACAAAATCATCTTATTCAAAGAAAAAGTTTACATTGTGATGTAGTCATGTTTCTGTTTCGTCTTCTACTTGTTAGATAAAGTATTCTGACCATTTTCTTTTTCGTACGGTTTGTTCCGTTTGAGTTCTTGCTATAACTTACTTACAAATGAAAATGTACCAACGAAATCTTGATTGTATTGACAAGTTGTTCCTTTAAGCAGAATCGAATCTCCTGTATTCGACTAGCCCGGATTGTGGCGTCGCTGAGAAATCCTTCATATACACTAATAAGACTAGATGGAAATTGTTGCGTTTATGTGTGGTTGGTTCTTCACTGAACTTATCTCTTATTTTGTAAATTGTCAAGATCATTGTGGGATTTTGTAAAAAATTTCACTGATTACTCGAAATTGATATGTAAAGATCTCTTTTGAAATGTTGTTTGCGTATTATCTAACTCAGTCTTCAAATTACAAGTGTTGTAGACAATGATTCTGTTAAAATTTGTTGAATTACTGTCTCATTGTCGTCTGATGTGTCTTTTTTTTTAATTTGGATTTGAACTCTATCTACTTTAAATGACCTCAATCTTGTTTACGCACAATGTTAATTACCTCGTATCATTATTGTTACACTTTATGACAATGTCAATGGTAAATAGCTGATGATGAGATATCATGAAATGTAAATGAACTATTGTATTATGTGATTCAACCTCATCACAAGGATAGTTGGCTTTAATTAACTTTCTTCTCATGCAGTACAGTGGCAAGCAAGCAACACTCATACCGACCGATCATCAACAACAACAGCAATGCCCATTCAATCATGTTTGAATTAACACCAATGTAACTGACAATGATCAAATTTTATGAAATCAACATCAGTTTTTAAAAAAAAAAATCAATTCTGATCGATTATATGTATCAAGAGTATTATGTTTTTTAACATTTTACATTGATTCTACTATTTTTTTAAAAAACATGAATCTTTACTACTCAAATGAATTTTATCAGTAGTATTGTGACAAATCGAACAAAAAAACAATTTTCTCTACAGAATTTTGTACAGAATTTCAAAACGACAAAAGAATATAAATTAAAAGAAATTTTTTTTCTAAAAATTAAATCTTCTCTTATTACAGTCATGTTTAATTTTTTTTCAAAACAGACTGACAAATGATGTTGGTTTGCCAATGTAGTTTTCTTATATAGATAGATGATATATGAATACTTTTTCATACATTCAACTTTCTCTTTCTTTGTAAATGTCTTCTTTTTCTTTTTTGAAAAAAAACAACTGTACCATAGTTAGTAATTAGTAGTATGTAACATTTTTTAAGAAATATTTTTAATGAAATGCTATTTATTACTTTTTTTTAAAAATGTTTCCAGCGAATGTATGATTGAAAATATAGCAAATTTACTTACTTATATTCGCCTGTTAACTGCTAGTGGAGTATAGGCGTCATCGACCAGCATTTTTCAAACTGCTCTGTTTTGGGAATTCCTTAATGGTTCTGTTCAATTTTTGTTCATTCTTCTTATGTCTTTCCCCATTTTTCGGGGTAATGTGTTCTTTGGCCTTCCTCTTTTCTGTTGGCTTTGAGGATCCCAAGTGAGAGCTTGTCTAAAGATGCAGTTACGTTCTTTCCTCAATGTGTGTCCTATATACACCCACAGCTTCTTCCGGATTTCCTCTACCAATGGCATTTGGTTTGTTCTCTCTCACAGTAGATTGTTTCTGATGGTGTCTGGTCAGCGGATCCGAAGTATTTTTGCGTAGACAACTGTTAATAAACACCTGTATCTCCTGGATGATATCTTTCGTAGTTCTCCAAGTTTCTGCAACGTAGAAGAGAACTATCTTGATATCTGTAGTTCAGATTGAGGCTTTGGTGTTTGTTGACAGCTGTTTTGAGTTCCAGATGTTGTTCAGTTGTAGAAATGCAGTCCTTGCATTGTCGATCCGCGCCTTCACATCTGCATTAGATCAGTAGAGCCTCCACATATATTCGAGTTCGCTTACATCCAACTTGGTTAAGCCCTTCCGATTAATTTATTTAACCGAGCCATTTAAGTAGCAACACTTTATATGTACCATTCGTTCTTAGTATTGTCTGGTTTGTATGAGCTCACATGACGTGTCATGTGCCTATTTCGCTTGTTGCATGTCTGTCTTACATTTGTCTGATTGTATACTCTTAGTCATGCTCTATCTCTTGGAGTTGGCTCATAAGCCTTCTCCAACGCGCTTCGCCTATTCGTTCGCTTCCTTCGCCCATTCGTTCGCATTGTAACCCATGGAGTTGGCTCATTAGCCTTCTCCAATTCACGTCGTTTCGTAAACTTAATTCGCTGCTTTACCACGTCGCTTCATCAAAGCATGTCCCATATTCATTCGTTATATTCGCTGCATCGTTCATTCTTTTGCGCATTCGCTCGCCATGGTACACAAATGGTGATCTCGACGTCAACAAAATCGGCCACCACAGATCTACCTGGCTCATTAGTGATGCTGTCCGGATATGTAAATGTGTCAAAATCCTCCAAGGCATCTCCATCAAGTATCATTTGGTTGGCGCATGTTATGTTGTATCGAAGATTCTTGCTTTTCCCTCTGTTTGTATGTTGAAACTTACTGCAGTTAGAGAAAACAAGTAAATAAATCAATCAGCGTACTCTTCCTTTATGATTAAAGAATTTCAATATGATCAGCATGAAAGGAAAATAACCGATACGCGCTACAGTTTTGTGATTTAAAGTAGATAGAATTGAGACAAGTTGATGAACAGTGTACACAGTTATTGACTGAATAATAAGTTTTCACTTTCGAGTTATGAGGATTGTTGTTTTTAATATTGGAATCACAAAAACGATCATTTTTAGCCGGTCGTTAGAAACCTGGATTGATCACTGTTGGACATTACCACCGTTGGATGCGGGCCCAGTTGTTCAGAGGTTAAGGGTTAGCGCGTGAAAGCGAATGTTCTTGGCTCGATTCTTGCTAGTAGCAGGAGTCATGGATCCGCACAGCTTATGAGTTCCATACAGGGAAGAAACGTCCATTCAATGCTTCTAGGCTTCTGATGGTGATCTAGTCCCGATTAATTCATGATTTCAATTATCAATGATCAATGACAGTATTCACATTCTACATGTTAATTAGTTAAAATGTACCTGAAGTTGTGTATTGGTATTCCGCATGAACTGAGAACAGTTTATTCTTCACTAAAGTGGTCGAATTCATCCTCCAAGTTTAACAGTAAAAAGAGTATATCATTTTAAGATTCTTTTTACTCTAATGTGAATAACTGACAATTGAAATAGTATCAACTAGGTATAAACTCCGCTGTCGTTTGTCATTTCGATATCGTACCGATCAGAATAAAGTACAGACATTATTGATTTTACCTCAAAGCTTCTACAATTTACAGTACTCATGAAAGATTTATATACAGGCAGCTATAAACAATGGAAGGCTTTTTCAAAACAGAAAGAGGTACAGAAGTTTTTCGCTCAAGTGGATTATTATTTAAAGGTGGAGTATCGTTCTCTGAGCTGCATGTTTCAGTTGTGAGGCCTACATTTGATTGATGCAACAAGGTGGAGATTTAGTCCCATTGGTTTTTAAACAAATGTGTAAGCAAGAAATTATCTACCTTTGTAGTATGATTTATGTTTGACCGTAAAAATATACCTTTATTGTGTATTATGTAGTGAGCGTTGAGAAATACAGAAGAAATAATGTTGTGAATCAGGAATTCATTCCATATAAATATGCTGTTTCATACATATGAATGAAGTTAGCAAAACACAGTATGAATCTTTCTGTGACACCATTTGATACACTCGTCAATTGATATGCTTGAACGCTACTACGAGTTCACCTCAGTCGGTAAACAAAAGCGAGATAAATGATCCAGTGACACGATAGGCTATTGTAATCCGAGCGTCCAAGGGCATCACTAAGTAGAGGAAGAAGTCTTGATAGGATGTCGAAAGTGTATTCTACAAGCACCCAGAAAATATGAGGTTGACAAGTAAACAAATCGAAGTTATTTTAATATGTTAGAAACGCCTCTGGGAGAGCCTTAGAAATAGCGTACTAAAATAACACATCAACAGTCAATAACGGTCAAGGATTTTGCGGGTGGGAAATGTAATCTCTGGGTCAACTGATCAGTCCATGCACGAAAACATAAAATATAAAATTAGAACCTTTATTAAGTGAGTTTCGGCGAACTAACGTCCCCAACATCAGTCGATCAGCATTAGACCACCATTAGAACCACGAAATCACTGGATGACAATTTTGTCTTAGTATGGGACTCATCAGAAGTGCGCATCTATCACTCCCGCACGCGGGAATAGAAACCCAGGGACTTAGGTCTCACCAATCTTCACATCTGTATGATTGAAAATAACACTTTTTGCTTAAAAGATGTGTCATTTATTAAATAAAGTTATGATTACTGACATCAACATGTCCACGTGGTTTACATGAGAATTTTATTCATCTTCAATGTCACAATTTTAATCAGAAGTCTGTTTAGTCAGAAGATGACGATGACAGATGACGAATGACGATTATTTATTGTAATAATAAAATTTAGTGTCATTGTACTATGCCTACAAATCAATCAGTTTGCATACAGTAGTTTCGGGGTTTCGGTATATACTTACTTCATAAAAAAGTCTTCACTTTAAAAATCTCCCAATTGTGAAATTACAATTTTTATAATATACGAAAAAATTTAAGATCAGTCAGATCGGTGACTACTTTTTAATGTGTTGAAATAGAATGACTGCAAGATAGTGTATATGTTCACGCGATAACACCTGTTTCTAGATGTTATTTATGCTAATAAACGAAATCAGTGGAAACAACTAATTTCCTTGCTAGTTTGAAATACAAATGATGCATATTTGTAATTCAGAGGATAATGGATGCGCTGACAGCACTTGTAACCTCTATTTAATTTAGGATATGCTGGTCGACTGATATGCTTGAACGCTATTACGAGTTCACCTTAGTCTTGGTAAATGAGAGCGAAGACAAATGATCTAGTGACACGATAAGCCATTCTAATCCGATCGTCCCAAGGCCCTGCTAACGGTGTCAAGAAGTCTTGATATGGAGTAAAAAGTGTTTTCTACGAGCACCCAGAAAATATAAGTATCACAAACATGTAGGTCTTGTTTATTTAAACATGATAGAAACGTCCTTCGGAGCGCCACAAATATAACTTACTAAAATAACACATCAACCAATGATAGTCAAGGATTTCACGAGTGGAAAATGTAATCTAAAGGTCCTCTGACCAGCCCATGCGCGAAAACATAAAATCCAAAACTAGGAACTTTATCAAGTGCGTTCTGGGGATCTAAAGTCCGCAACAAATTCATACAACTCACATAATTGCATAGCACGACAGTAGGAGGACTAGTATTGTCGAAATAAATATTCGTTGTTGCCAAATTTAAATCGATTGCTTGCAAATCTTAACATAATACCAAACATCGATACGAATATTATTATTATTACCGTCATAACTATTAGTAGTGGTAGTAGCCTGATTAGTAGTAGTGCGAGTAGTAGTAATGGTAGTGTGAGTAGTAGTAGTAAAGTGAGTAATAGTAGGGGTGAATGAGTAGTGGTGGTAGTACTAGTAATAGTAAGAAGAGAAAATGTAACAAGAGATCGCACTAAGGTTCTAGCATTTAGAGTAGATCATTTGATAACAAATACTTTCAGACTAAGTGTTCGTCATCAAATAGTATTTTCACTTAACTAGGACAAATTACACTGACGTTTGGAGAGCATAAATAAATATACATTCCAAGATTTGGCTAAAGCCCTTTGGTTGTGTAGTTATACTGTAAAATACTGAAGCTCTATACTCAAGAATGAAAGAATTTCTACCGATTATTATCATTCCTCCAAGTGTTTAGGGATGTTTAGGAATCGTATGGATCAATATTTGTCTGTGATGATTTTAAAACTACTACTCACACTACTACTACTACTCACACTACTACTACCACTACTACTCCGACTACCACGACTACTACTACTACTAATCATGTAAGAAATTTCCAATTGTTTTCTTCTGGTGTAATAATTTATTCGTCCGTATCATTTGATTTCCAATCGGGCAATGTGTGTGAGAAGCCATGACCAATGTAGTCCAATTGGTGTCGTATGTAAGGCAGCCACCGACTAAACAGAATAGAAGAGGCTGAGCAATATCATGGATTCATTGAGGGTGTTAAATGCCAGCTGCGTAGTCTAGAGGTTAAGCATTCGTACATGAGACGAGATGTCCTAGGTTCGATTCCCGCCAGCTGTGTCAAGGATACGCACTTCTGATAATTCCCATATTAGGACGAAACGGCTGACTAGTGTTTCTAGGTTTCTTATGGTGATCTAACATTGATCGATTCATTCTTTCAACAAAACGTAACAATCTTAACAACGCTGTGATGAAAGTTACAGTGTGTGTTTGAAAATATCGTGGTAAAGTGAGATATACACTTACTTACTTATGCTTATTACTCCCAATGGAGCATAGGCCACTCACCAGTATTCTTCAAACCTACTCTACTCTGGGTTTCGCTTTCCAGTTCTGTCCAATTTTTATTCATTCTTCTCATTTCTGTCTCCATTTCTCGGAGTAATGTGTTCCTTGGAATTTAATGCAAGCTATGAGAGAATTAATCAACTTTAAATCACGGCATACATGTTTCAGTTACAAACTGATCGCTTATCTACAAATATATATTATTAGACTCCATAGCTCAGTTGTTAGAGCACTAGTCTAGTAAACCAGAGGTTGGGAGTTCAATGCTAACTCCGACTGGAGCCCCTCTGAGGCTACTGCCGGCCCCAAGCCTGGAAAAAGGAGGAGGGTTGGGCATGGAGTTAGCGACTTCATCCGCGTAGAAAACTAACTCATACAGCATTCATTTATTAGGCCTGTTATATGTTTTTCTTATCGTCAACTCCAACCACAGAATCGGACTGATAACAACAGCTGAGATTTTAGTTAATTGGTAATGTTTTAAATGAATTTACAATGAATTCCACATACTGAATTATGTTGTTGAAATGCAATGATGACATCGAATTTCGAATAATTTTAGCCTCTCATTCCATACATATATGTGATCCATCATGTTAGTTACTTACGCCTTAGAGCGTAGAGACCCTTCAACTAGCCAGCATTCTTCAACCAATTCCTTCTTAGGTGTTCATTTACATTTCTACGCCGCCAACTGTAGTAACTCCAGAAGGATAACAGGAGGAGTTAGATAACTGTTAAAAAAAAGGTTTATACGACGCAGTGACATTTTTGTCTTACAGTAAATACGTCACATCAAAAACAGTATTTTCACTATTACAATAGATCACATCATGCAATATATGCCAGTCATCTTTAGCAGCCTTCAGTACTTTCTTGAAAAGATCACAAAAAGTCAACAAAATGGCAAGTGTATTTTAAAATATCAAGATGTTCAGAAACTTGCAACGGAATTCTGCGAAAATAATGCGCTCTATTTAAGCTATCATATTTGGAATTTTCGATAATTTCCGAATTGTCCTTCGTAGATTTATATACAATCCTATGTATATCATTATTTTCTGTGACCAACTAAACTTCCGAAGTAAAGCGCTGGTTGTGTACTACTGCCCAACTTTGATTTTCTATTTGGAGTTCAAAAGTGTCTCGGACGAGAAAGTGATTAGGAAATAGTTGTGTTTAAGTGTTTACTCATGACATGCATCAGTTATTTTGACATTTTCAGATTACATCTTTTGAAAAAAAAACATTCTAGGTCCTTTCCAGAGTACATTTAACAAAACTAAGTATACTAGAACAGGTTGTACAACAACTAGCTGAAAAATTTTTTTAGTCTTTTATTGCTGAAGTTTGCGAATTTCCTCCCTCTTTCGATTTGGTTAAACCAAGCAATAATCATTCCTGACCACGGAAAGCTGATGAGTCCCATACTAGGACGAAACGGACACTCGATGCTTTCAGGTTTCTAATGATGGTCTAACATCGATCAACTAGTGAATTTCAATGAGAGCTTAGTGATTGCATCTGTATTGATAGTAAGCTTTCAATACTGAAAATAAGTACAAAGTACTGATTGCTGAAAAGATCAATAATACTTCTAAATCACAATGACAGTCTGCATTCATATCAAAGACAAATTTATTCCACAAGTATTATACAAACTACACTGGGCATTTCTTAATCAAATACAAATGTCAAGATAGTTCTACTGTATGGAACGGAAACCTGGAGAACTACCAAAGCCACCATCTAGAAGATACAAATGTTTATTAACAGTTGTTTACGTAAAATACTTTGGATTCGTTGGCCAGACACCATCAGCAACAACGTACTGTGGGAGAGAACAAACCAGATTCCAGTGGAGGAGGAAATCAGGAAGAAGTGGTGGAGTTGGTGGATAGGACATACACTATGAAAAGCACCCAACTGCGTCACAAGACAAGCCCTCACTTAGAACCCTCAAGGCAAAAGGAGGAGAGGAAGGCCAAGGAACACATTACTCCGAGAAATAGAGAAAGATATGAGAAGAATGAACAAAAATTTGACAGAACTAGTAAGGGTAGCCCAGGACAGAGTTGGTTGGATAAAACTGATCGACGGCCTATGCTCCATTGGGGGTAACAGGCGTAAGTAAGTAAGTAAGTAGGTAAGTAATTTCTTAATCACTTACTGACTATTTCCCCTAATGGAGCATAAGCCACCAAACAGCACTTTCTAACCTACTCTATCTTATGCATACCTTGCCAGTTCTACTCAATTTCTAGTCATTCTTTTCATGTCTGTCTACAACTATCGGCATTCCAGGTCAGGGATTATCTTGTGATGAGGTTGGGCACTTTCCTCAATGTGAGTTCCATCCACCAATAGCGATTTTTCCTGATTTCCTCCTCAGCTGAAATTTGGTTTGTTCTACCCCACAGTAGGTTGTTGCTGATAGTGTCTGGCCAATAGATCAGAAGTATTTTGCTTAGACAACTCTTTATAAATTCTTGTATCTTCTGAATGACGGCTTTTGTAGTTCTCTAAATTTCTGCCCCATACAGTAGATCTGTCTCGATATGAAAATTTTGACTTTGCTGTTTGTTGATAGTTGTTTTAAGTTCCACATGTTCTTCTGATTTACCAATCCGCGCCTTCACATCTGCATTAGATACAATTTGCTCACCAATGATGCTGACCAGATATGTAAAGGTTTTCACATTCTCCAAGACATTTCCATCAGAAATTATTTGCTTGGTTCATGTTATGTTCAGTTAAACTCAATAAGTGAGTTTAAAAACATATTTTCTTCCCATTTCATTTGCAGTAATCTAAAAAACTAGGTAATTTAATCTTCGCCGTGTTTAAAATGTGTTTTGATGACCACAAATAAACACAATCAAGTGAAATAAATGATTAGACTTTATCTACTGTGAGATAACAGTCATAATATCCTAATGTGATTGGATAACACAATCCAACTCGATCGATAGGATTCGATCAGCATTAATAAGACATGCAGGAGGTCAGTTGTGACGCAAGTAGCTTTGTTGTAGCGTCTCTGACTGTAAAGCTGGTTGACATGGGGGGTCAAGTCCATCAGTTCAATCACAAGTTCCTTCAAGATCACAGGTACAACTTGCTGATAAATAGCTAATAACACGAATCGTAGGTCAAACATTTCCTATCGACTACCTGCAACCACTATCTTACAACATAATCAATCATAATTCGTGACATCTAATCAAATACAAGTTTAAAAATACAGTAGTATATTTGCAAATGAAAACTACCCTAAAATTTAAACTCTCCATCAAAAGAAATCTTAAGCAGAGAACAAAACACTACAACATAAAACCCTGGAGTGCTGTTTCTCTTTTCGTCCAATCAGCGAACAGCTACAACTCAAATGACCTTGTCCGATTAAAATAGACTAGACAACCAATAGAATACGCGAGATATTGGAATGCAAATTTCTGATGTCATTTCATTAGAATCTTACTGCTTTATTTTTTCTGGGTTTCATGTATACAATTTTCTATCATCTTGGATATTTTCTATTGTTAATTGTTCAAGTGAATTTATTTCATCCGGATACATGTCATCTGAACTTGAACCGCATATATTGAAACGTTTTGAAATTGAAAAGAGAATAGGAAAAGGAGTAAGTCAACATTTATCACTAAGTAATAACTATAACTCTTGGTTAAGAGATGTTTTATTAATGTAAGATTTAGTAAATTGACGTAAATATTAGATAATTTACACGAGTACATTTTGTAATTTGTCAAAATAAGTGAAATTATTAGAAGAGGTGGATAGTGAGTGGTTAGCAATGAAAACTAGAACACATGCATTTCGTCCTCTATTCGGATTCGTCAGCTGTAGGTACCAACAACTCCATAGAGTTGGTGTACACTCTGAACTCAAACCCAATACACTTGAGTTCACTCTTAAATGATATCACGTTTATCTACACTTAGTTATTGAGTCCAGATTATACTGACTTGTGAAATTGCAACTGAAGGGCATTTTATAAAGGTAAAACTCAACAATTACTGTCCTAAATATCAATGGGTAGATTCAAGAGATCAATACAAAGGAATCAATATATTCACTTGTTAAAGGAATTTATTTTCACTTATGTTCTCTCTTAATTTTCTAATCTAATCATTCTAGTTACATAATTTTCCATTCACGTTTTTTAGCACAAACAAAGCGGATTGATAGGATTGTGAAGATAGTTGAGTTGCTTTTAAATCCTCTAATTAAAATTATCCTATGCTCACTAGTGATTAGGTTTGTGAAGAAATTTTCAGAGTTCTAGTGAGAATCTGCGGCCAGTGTAATTCAATCATGTCGACTATAAGGCAGAAAATATCCGAGGGTTGACTAAATATTGTTTGATATTAACTCCGTGTCCTAAACCTTGAGTGTTGGCAAGTCAGACATAAGATCATAAGTCCCACACTAGGACAAAATAGCTATCCAATGCATTCAGGATTCTGATAATCATTTAAGATTGGACATTGATCAGAGTGAAATGACAAGTTCTGTCAGGGTAATATATTCATTTCTCATATTCATTGAATGTTTCAACAGTCAGAATGAAAACAACTAAACAAAATTAACTTCCCTCAACTTATTAACATACATTTTCGTGTAAAACTTAACATTAGTCAAAATTCAGTATTATTCAGTGTTCAATGTTCAAAATAGGAACAATAAGTTATTACATTCTACTTAAATAGTTTATCACCTTACTCAATATCCACAAAATATGTCTTATTTATTTAAACAGTTAGATTTCAAGCTGTCAATAAATTGTTTGAATAAAATTGCACTATTTTTTTTGTAAAATGTGACTGGTCAACTAGATCTAATGTAGCGTGCGTTAAATAAAATTTTTGGCGGTTACTTGTCAATTGAATGCACCTGCATCCACAAATAGGATAACTAGTTTTTAACCCTCAAATTCAATTATTCGATGAAATTATCTAACAGATTAGTGATTTCAAGATAACTTTCACAGGTTATGTGTGTATGTAATATTGTAGTGAAGGAGAACACAGATGAGGACAACCGAATTGAATTTATCGAAAATTACAGAGTTACTCAGTAAAATAGGAAAACCATATCATAAGCCGTTAATTTGCAAATCTTCAATCCATCATCATCTCCATTGTCTGACATTTCACTTATTCATGCGTTTCATACAAATTCTATTGTGTTCCCACTCTTCCTTTCTTGATCTTCCCCCATCTTCTGCTGCCAGACATTACGTTTACACTCGCACCATATACTACTTATGAGCAGCGCGCACCACAATATGTATACTTACAAAGACTAATAAATTATTAATTTGTCTGAATTTAAATAGTTCTGGCTATTGTACATTGAATCTTTTCATATATCAAGGTGAAAATTTTTGTTTAAATCTAACTAGTCGTCAGTAATAAAATAAATCATAACTGAAGATATATTTCTATAAGATTTTTACAATCTGGACTGATTTTCATGATTCAATAACTGAGTATTAATTTTATGTAACGCTTAATGTTTTAATTTACTAGTTCAAATCCTAAATGGAGAAATTTTTTGAAGGTCAAACAGAGGCTTTACTTGCGAGTAGTCAACATTCACAAAGACTAGATTTTTTGTAGTTTGCTGAGTATCTTCAACCGGTACTCTTAGTTTTGCTCGGTGATATTACACTTTTGCAAAACAGATAATATTTGTCTATGTTAATTTGAATCAGGATATAAGTTCGCGAAATAAACCCAAATGATATTAGCCATAGAAAAATGTTTAATACACCCCCAGAAATCATGAATCAGTCGATCATCGTTAGACCACCATAAGAAACCTGGAAGCAATGGAAGGCCGTCTAAACCTGGTATGGGACTCATCAGCAGTGCGCATCCATGATCATTCATCATTTCAGTAATAACCGACAATCATAAAGATTTGCTCACTAGTGACTAGCTCCGAGAGGAAATACTAGGAGTTCTAGTGAGAAGTCCTGACTAATGGTGTTTAGCTCTGTTGGGTGTAGGTAGTTACTTACCGAAGAAAATGGATTAGGTTGCGCAGAACCTTAGATTGATCAGAGTTAGACATTATCCCCTTTAGATGCCGCCTCAATGGTCTAAAGGTTAAGCGTTCTTCCGCAAGACTAAAGGTCCTGAGTTCTCATCCTGCTAGTTGCAGGATTCGTGGATGCGAACTGCTAATGAGTCCCGTACTAGAATGAAAAGTCCATCCTATGCTTACAAGGTTTCTAATAGTGATCTAACAATGACCTATTCATAACAATCTCTATAACTCTTTATAGAAAAATAATAAACTTCTGTCAGAAGTAAACAGTTTGAATCATTTCTTATTTTATGTAGAAAGTATGTACGTTGTTAAATATAGACAAGTGAACATCACGTTAAATCGTTATGTCTTAGTAAGATGGACTTGACGGATTTAGGTCAAACCTTTTAATAGTTAGAAATTCATCGTCAGACTTTAGAATGATAACTTCGGTCGTCAGTGCTATTTTTTCTAAAGAGTTACACATTACGGTAAAACATTTGTTCAATAAACTTTAGTGTTCGATCGTACCTTTTCGGGACGTTAGATCCCCAGAACTCACTTGATAAATGTCTTAACTTTGGATTTTATTCATTGGCTGATCAGTTGACCTTGAGATCACATTTCCCACCAGGAAAATCCTTGACGGCTATTAGTTGATGTGTTATTTTAGTATGATATTTTTGTGACTCTCCCAAGGACGTCTCTATGGCGTATGGTTACTATAATCTCGCCAACCATGACCAGGTAGTCGACACCTACCAACATGACTCAATCCACTTGTTAGGGACTTTATGGATTTGTGCCATGTTTTGGTTTGGCCACCCCTAGCTTTCTTCCAACCTATTTATACACCGCAAAACAAAGCTTGTCTAGGTAGTCGGTGGTTAAGCCTACTTAACACATGTCCCAGCCACCTCAACTGATGAAGTTCCACTACTTCATCTATTGATCTGCTATCCTTTCCCTAGTACTCGTTTCCTAGTGACATCATTACATACTCCCTTGATCTGGATTGGAAGTAACTTTGATCATACATTAGTGCAGTACAGACAAAGGTGTATATGATTTTCATAGACTGAATAAAACAATATTCAATACCATTGATAATAACAAATGTCTGAAGAGTTAGAAATAAGTAGTTACGTAATAAATAAACACACTGATATAAAATAAGAATAACGTGAGTATAGTTCATTTAGTTCAAATAAGATTAAAACTAATCTAGAAGAGAGTTGAACAAAATTTCCATGATGCAATATTTTTCATCAAGGTCAAAACGAGATTATCAATCATCTCTTTACAAATACATAAATCAGGTTTCAGGTGTCTGATAACAACAGCTTCAGCAAATTTTGAGAAGACTGATGCTTGGTTGTTTATGAATCACCTTGAAAGATTACACATTATCAACCTGATCTCCTGTATTCAAGTGATGTTTAGTGATTTCGCTCGAAGTCTTGTAGAAACATGTTCAACAAATCTAAGTTATCTGTTTGGTTCATATAAAGGCTCAAATCTTTGTTCTCTCTGTCTTCAAGATAACTTAAAGGGAAATATATGTTTGAAGCGTCTTAATTGACAAAGCCACTCAGAATGAAACATTTGAACGATTCCTTACAACTAACTCATTTTTCAGATCATTTGTCTTACATAGATCAAGGAATGCTTGTTTGTTTATATTTGAGTGCGAAACTCTGGAAAAGTCTTGAAAAGTTATTCAAGTCCAGTTAAAACTATTTTCTTTGATTAAGGAAAAAGGTTATAGTCAATAGAGAAAATATTTAATTCCACCTTTATGTATGACATAATATTTAGGTTTTAAAATATGATTCTGAATTGTTTAAGCGAAACTAAATTGAAATACTATTGATCTTGTTCAATACAAAGGTTATGACAATATTTCTTTTAAAAAATATTTTCTTATTCATACTTCGTGAATTTAATTTTTTGTGATGTAAGTAGTAGTATCAACAAGAATGAATGTAACCAAATGAAAATGTTACTTGTATCTCTCTAATAAAACGTCGACTTTCAATTTTCATAAATGAAATTAAAAACTGTTAGCAGCTAGACGATGGAGTGGAAACGTGGATGGCGGCTGTTTCGTTTTAGCATAGGACTCATCAGAAGTGCGTATCCACGACCTTGTGAGTGGCGATTGATTCCAGGACATTTGGCCTCACATGTAGATGCTTAACTTTGTTGACCATTGAGTCGACATTTCAATCAATTCATGACATAACGCAACTTGTATCCATTACCCGTCGTGGATAACTGTCGCCTACTCCCACTGGTCACGATTTCTCATTTGTAGTACTTCGAGAATATTTCTTAAAGCTAGCCCGAGAAAATATAACATTGAGTTCTGATTAAACAAAACATCCCGTTGACTGATATTTGTTAGGATACTTACTAAGTGATTTAACGGTTGTTTCAGGAGTTCCTAGACTAGACACCTAAAATCTCATTTTGTCAATGTGTGTAATCATACATTATAATTATAAAAATTTCAGAAACTCACTTTCTTACTCATTTTTTGCTTAAAAAGTAGTTATACTGATAGTTAGGATTATTTTGTTAAGT